ACGAATCGCCCTTTTTTTTGGGCAGAAACCAACTGTTTCAGGGTATGTTTGGGTGCTGCACTCCAAATATGGGAACAGTATTCCAGGACAGGTCGGACCTGTGCCTTATAGATCATAAGCAGCTGACTGGAAGTGGAATAGCTACTGGCCCGAAACAGAACACAAAGTTTTTGGGATGCACTTTTAGCAATTGATCTCACGTGATTTTCCCAAGAAAGGTTATTGCTGATAGTTATCCCAAGCATCGAAATGGATGTCTTCGAAGGTATGGTTACTCCTGACAAGTTTATGTTGGGCACAGTGAGATCGGCTCTTCCAGAGAAAAGGCATGCTTGTGTTTTGTTTGCATTGAAATCTACCAAAAGTTATTGGATCCCCATTCGAGAATTGTTGCCAAGTCCATATTTATGTTGCCAATATTTCTCTCTCGTTCGTTTCTGATTCGCCTGGCTGGAATTGGAGCCCTGGAAGAGAAGGCGGTATGGAGGGTACTATCATCCGCGAAGCTGAAGTTGCTTTCAACAAATCGTTGATATGGAGTAGAAATAGTGTTGGTGCTAGAATTGATCCTTGCGGAACACCAGCATTTATGATAAGACAGTCAGATGAAACTCCGTCGACCACTACACGGAGAGACCTGTTTGAGAGAAAACTAGCTAGCAGAGAACATAGCTGGGGAGGCAAGCCATAAGATGGAAGCTTGGCGAGGAGACCATCGTGCCAGACACGATCGAATGCCTTGGAGATATCAAGTGCCACGGCTAAGGTTTCACCATATTTTTCAATAGATTGCTGCCATATATATGTGTGACGCAAGCGATATTTTCGAAAACGTATCTAAATTTATACGTACCTACTACTCAATTCAATATTTGGATAATAAATAAATAATAAAATAATGTATCTACTTGTATAACTTTCTGCCTATTCACTAGTACAAGGGTTGATAGAGGTTTAGTTGGCATATTAAAATACAAGGAATTTTGGTGGCCTATGGCTGCAATTTTGGAATCCAGCATGCGTGAAATTCGAACAAGTCTGACGATTTCACGCATGAATTATAATTCATTTGTTCCGCTATGATCTTTCGCCAAGGATCCAGTCTTGAATCCGAGAACGAGAGTGATATCAATGAAATGTTCAATACTAAGCAATGAAAGATCTTGGAAAAATCACTTTATCTTTGAGAGAAAGTGAGTTTTTTATGCACTTGGTGAAATTTGAATGCTATAATTAATCTCAGGGGGTGATTCTTAGTCATTTTTCATGAAAAATAGTTCACATAAATGTCCTAAATGGCTTCGTTTCCGAGTAAAGAGGTGTCAAAGTGTTACTATGAAATAGGTATTATATTATTATCAATTACTCGAAAGTCTTTACACCGATTTTGATGAAACTAGGAATGTTTATTATAGCAATAACAAAAAGAATTTTGAGTAGTTTATGAAAAACCGATTTCTCATTAAACTTAAACGGAGCAAGTTAGGACACACATATACAGGGTGAGTCATGAGGAACTGTACATACTCCTACCACGAAGGGGAATACCGAATGTCCATCAGAAAGTGTGTTCCTGACTTCTTTCCCAATATATAGGGTGAATCATGAGATTTGGCAAAAACATCTTCTGGTCATAACTTCCCAACAGCTATTCTCTGATCGACTGACCTATTCAGAATCGGGAAAATCCAGGACCGTTCTTGAAGAATTTTTATAAGTTAGTTTATAGCAAAAAGTTCATCCTGTATATCAGGCATGTGCAACCTACGGCCCGCGGGCGGAATCCGGCCCGCACACTGAATTTGTACGGCCCGCGACGACTTGTCGAAATATCATTGAATCTGGCCCGCTAACCCTCTACCTTGTCCTGAGAAAATCAATGAATATGAAAAGATAAGTCTTTCTCGTTGGAAAGTGACCAGACGTATCGACGACATGGCCGGTGATATAAAATCAACCATTACTATAATCGCTTCAAAATTTGAAGCATATTCCATTGCTCTCGATGAGAGCTCAGACACCACTGACACCGCTCAGTTAGCTTTATTCATCCGCGGAGTTGATGCCAATTTCAATTGTACGGAAGAATTGCTAGCTCTCCAACCAATGAAGGATACAACAAGGGGTGAAGACATTTACCAGGAAGTAGAAAAGGCATTTACCCGATTCGACCTAAAGTGGGAAAACCTGAGCGGAATATCTACCGATGAGGCTCCATCAATGATTGGATCAAACAAATGAGTTGTTGCACTAATAAAATCAGTGTTATCTGATAACACAATCGATATTGAAGATTTGTCTATATTTCACTGCATAATACACCAGCAGAATTTGTGTGCAAAATCAAACAAGTTCGCACAAGTAATGGGCACGATAATTTCTTGCATAAATTTCATGAAGTCGAAATCGCTAAATCACCGCAAATTTCAAGAATTTCTGGATGACGTCCATTCCGAGCATGAAGATCTCACATTTTACTGCGAAGTGCGTTTGCTGAGTAAGGGGAAGATGTTGAAGCGTTTTTATGATTTGAAAGATGAGGTATCTATTTTCATGGATATGAAAGGAAAACCTATTCGGGAGCTTGAAAGAAAACCCTGGCTATGTGATCTTGCATTTCTTGTCGACGTAACAACTCATCTTAATGAACTCAATACTAAGTTACAAACGCAGGACCAGTTGATTCATAAGCTTTATGATGGACACATCAAATCATTTCAAAATAAGCTACGACTCTGGGAAAGCCAATTGAGGGAAGGCAACACTCACCATTTTTCCACACTTGCGAACCACAAAAATTATTTTGATTGCGAGATGTTTGCGAATGAGTTGAAATCGTTGAATCAATCAGTAGGTTCTGTGATTGAAAAATCCAAGAAGCAAACTTGAGAATTTTCTCTTCTCCTTTTGATGTTGAAGTCGAACAAGCTTTTTTTATATTTTCATAAGTGTTATGATGAGATTTTATATGAAGGTATAAAGAGTTTGAACTTATTAAGATGTATTGATTCATATACATTGCCATATATTCAGATCCCAAAGAACTTCGGCCCGCATAATCTTTCTAATTTCTAATCCGGCCCTCAGTCCTGTCGAGGTTGCACATGCCTGCTGTATATCGTTTTTGTAAATTGTGACATGAAATTTCCAAGGGTCACAAACAAACATCAAGAATAAAATATTTCAAATTCTCCTCACACTTTCACTGCTGTTTGAAAAAAACTATTAGTTTTATGGAAAACTAAAATTTGGCAAAAAATGTATTCATTTGGAAATCAATACTTCGCAACCTATAAATTTTACGACTTTATATTTTGAATGCTTCAGCTCAATGGAAATCAACATATTTATTTATTTTCAGGCCTGGATTTATTAATTCGAATTTTTTTGGAGAGGATAATAATCACCCTGTAGATCTTTCTCGAATCAGTGGATGAGGTATATTTGAAAATGTTGATGGCCATCGCTAATGATTCCAGTTCACAGTTTAATCTATTCGATTTTTTTTATTCGGGTAATTTGGTCACTTATTTTCCGTCCTAGAATTATTATCAGCCTACAGGGTGATTATTACCCTCCACAAAAAATTAAATGACCAAATCCAGGCATGGAAATGAAAGAACATGCTGATTTCCATTGGGCTAATGCTTTGAAAATGTGAGTCTTACTGATTCGTGAAATTAATGCGTGCTAAGTAATTATTTTCGAATGAATAAAATTTGTTGTCAAACTTTCGTTTTTGTTTATAATTTATAGTTTTTGAAAAATTCTGTGGAAGTGTGGGGAGAAATTTGAATATTTTATTTTTGATGCTTGGTTGTGTGCTTTGAAAATTCCCTGTCACAGTTCACAAAAAACATATACATCAGGATGAACTTTTTGACAAAAACTAGACTATCGAAAGTTTTCAAAATCGGTCCTGGAATTTTCCGATTCTGAAAAGGTCAGTCGATTAGGGTTTAGTAGAGAGTATTCTATGAAAAAATCAGACGAAAGTTATGACATGGACTCATCGCCTGTAATTAATGACATCATGTATTGTTTTTTATAATTATTGACCCTGTCGCAAAATACGATTTCGAAATCCGCCAGAAATTTAACTACACACAGATCCGACAGTAGAAACAATATGAGTATCAGAAACGATTAGAAAATAAGGAAATGTTAGTGGAAGCAGTTGATAGAAATAAAAACCCACTTTTAGCAACAAAAACATGCTTTATTTGATAGGTACAGGTGATGAAATGTTGCAATCGCAATATACCTAATATGACAGTTTTTTAGAAACAAATATATCCCTAAAAAATTACTCATATCGTATAGAATGAAGGATTTTGAAGAAATCTAGAGCTAGAGAAAATTTCAGGAGGGTCTTGATTTGAAGGTAAAACAGTCGTCTTACCAACAACCAAAAAAAAAATTAGTACATATAAAATAATGTATCCAATTGTTTCGAGAGTACAATTATTTGAGATGATGAGAAATATCATACTTACATGTCTATTGTCACAAAATATTCCCGAGTGTATTTCAATACTGGAAGTTTACGAAATACTGACACAATAAATCTCATTAAAAATTTTACCATATCTTTTGAGTATCATTGAAAATTTGGCAATACTGCAAAGGTCATATTGATACTTCTTGTGCTTCTAACCTAGCCGCAAGCACAAGCATATGCTTGTGTTTGGCTGTTAAAAACTAACCAAAAAGTTTCTTCGACATGAATGTGCTTCATTCATCACTACTATTTTGGAAAATCTCTGTATAATATCGAAAAGAGAAAGTCTCTGTCAAGAAATAAAAATACCAATTGATAACAGTGAGTAAAATTTCTTAATTCTAAATTGATGCTTTATCTTCATTCGATTGATACATTATCATATATCAACTAACAGAAACTTTCCCAGTACCTACTATTACAACTACCTTAATTTACACCAGTCATAGGAAGAAATGGGCATGCATAGAAATTTTGAAACAGTGTTGAACTACGATACCTGTCTAGTGAAACTGTTATTCAGCTTCAAATCTGGAAGTCTGACATCAATCTGAAACAAAAAAGTTCCTATCAAGTTTGATCATTATCTTTCATAATTGTTTCCATTTTTTGCAAACGAGTTGAAAATCAGACCACCCCTGAACTGATTCTTTTGCAATCTAGTACAGTGATATGAGCAATCATTTCAGATTTGATCACAATACAATCCAATATGGCGGACCTCCGGACTTTATGAAAATGTCATCAAATTTGTTTTGTCAAATGGGGCTCCCTGTATATTTTCACATATTTAGGTTCTTCATCAGGTCAAAACACTTATACGTTATGTCAAATGCAATTTTCACGAGACAATTGAGATTGAAAGTATTTTTTTCTACAAGCGTGCGTGATTCACCCTATACCCGCACGCAATTTAGTTTGGGAAGTGTCATTTTCCCGCAACAGTGCGGGAAAATTTTCCCACACTAGTGCGGGAAATTTTTTCCCGCACTAGTGCGGGGAAACAAAGATATGATAAAATCGTTCAGAATCATCCATCAAATTGCACTATTTATTGTAAACATTAAGAAATATTGAGAAATAAAAATTGATTATTATAAAAATCCCCCTATAGATTTGGATTGATCTGACGGGAAACGTCAATTTGTCATGCCAATCAAACCTCAAATAAGTTTGAAATTATCGAAGTGACAGACACAGCGTTACTGTTATTTTCGATTCAGTGGAAATGTCACAATGTGATCAAAAACTTCTAGCTATAGGGATTTGATACAGATGCGTTATCACCAACGAAGTCTTAAGAAAGGTATGAGAAGCTATACACGCGTTTTATTGAATGGTGCAACAATAAAGAAATGAAAAAACCGAATGAAGAATAGGTATATTTGGCTCATTTCATAGAAGTGTCTGGAACCTAGAGACCAAACTTCTAATGGGCCTGCTGGCTTCCGCAATGAACCAACATAATGCGTCAAACTGTAGAGAATATATATCTCTTGTTAGTTGTTCCTATTTGCTTGAATAATTAATTGAACGATTCAATCAATTTCCTACGCTTGTAGAAAAAATATTGTTCCTTACTCATGCGGAAAGTTTCTTTCCCGCACTTGACTGCTTGCCCGAACTCCGCTTCCGTTGTTCGTGTCAACGGCAGTCACGTGCGGGAAAGAATCACTTTCTGCGCTTGTTAGGAAAATTACTATTCCATTGTATGTCATGGACCAAATTCTAGAAGAAAAAAACATGTTGTCAAATTTTATTTTTCTCGGCCCACCAGTTGAAAAATTTGAACTACAAGGAATAAACTCATTCACCAAAAACACCTTTCTGCATTAGATATATTTCATCTAGGTCTTCTGCGAGAAATTTGTCGATTTATTCTCTTGTCAATACTTTTGACTTTCTCGGTCGATATCCTTCACCCTTTCGCTTCAAAAAAGCCACAAGTTTATGATATCTGCTTATTATTATTGATTGACGTTAGTTGTCAAGAAAGATAAATCAACAAATTCAGTTTTTGTTTACCTTGGTAACTTGTTTCATGAATAGATTAGATTGAATTGGATTCAAAACTGATAATCTCGAGGCTGTTATTTAATCAATTAATAAGTAATGTAAAATAGTTATGCGTTAATTTGGACTTTTAATGGTGTTTGTAGAAAAAATAGTGTATGATATATGTGCTAAAAGTGTTTTTTCTTCTGTTCGAAAGGATGGAACACTCCGCCTTCGGCGTCGTGTCCCAAACTTCCCTTCACACAAAATAAAATGTCACTTTCAGCACTTATATCATAAATAACCATTTTTAAATCAAAATGGGATGAAATAATCCAGCTTAATCATGTGCTTTGAGAAAGACACGAATCAACGTTGAATAGCTACGTTAGGTAATAATAAGTGTGTCACTGTATTAAAAAACATTGAATGTATAAAAATCCGACAAAATGCCTACACAACTGGTTTTCAATATGTCTCACCTTATTCAGACCAAAAAAGAAACATTGATTGTGTCATGACTATCATTTTTGCAACAATCACCATCACTGTATATTTGAAGAGGTTCTTTATCTCACAGGAAATCCACTTTCAGAAAAATCACTAAAGAAGTCAATGATAACGTAAGTATACCACACTGCATGGGAAACAATTGATAAATTATTGTATAGCTCTGATACGTTGCTAAATTTTATTTGCACTGGGGATTTCCATTATTATACTCCTATATCTATTGAAAAATCCCTCTACGATTCAACATAATTAATATAAACCGGATTCCAATGGAATAATCTGTTGAGCGCTGATCTTCAAAAGAAAGACAAAAGCACATCAAGAAGATATACATAGTGGGACATCTTTAAGATTATTTGGACTCGGTCCAATTTCCACTGAGATGAAAAGAGATACAACACATTGGCATAGTTTTTCATTATACAAGTGAAAAAATTAGTAGATTGCAGATTATAGATTATAAGCAGCTGACTGGAAGTGAAATGGCTCCTTGCCCGAAACAGAAAACCAAGTTTTTGGGATGCACTTTTAGCAATTGATCTCACGTGATTTTCCCAAGAAGGTTATTGGTGATAGTAATACCAAGCATCGAAAAGGATGTCTTCAAAGGTATGGTTACTCCTGAAAAGCTTATGTTGGGAATAGTGAGATCGGCTTTTCTAGAGAAAAGGCATGTTGTGTTTTGTTTGCATTGAAATCTACCAAGTTATTGGATCTCCATTCGAGAATTGTGACCAAGTCTATATTTATGTTGTCAACATTTCTTCCTCGTTCGTTTCTGATCTGCCTGGCTGGTATTGGAGCCCTGGAAGAGAAGGCGGTATGGAGGGTACTATCATCCGCGAAGCTATGTAATGGACATGAAGTAGCTTCTAACAAATCGTTGATATGGAGTAGAAATATTGTTGGTTGACAATACCTGAATGTTCCAGGTATTTCATGAGCTCGATGTTGATAGCTTTCTCCATGATCTTTGAAATAATAGATAGCAGTGCGATCGGTCTGTAGTTGCTAGGTAGATTCTTTTTGCCCTTTTTAGGAACTGGTTGTACTCTTGCAATTTGCCAGTTGGATGGGAATATCCTCAATTTGTAAGAGTAGTTGAACAACTTGCAGAGAACAAGTGTTAGTTCGTAGTAATGGTCAGAAGGTTTCGTGTTATAATAAATATTGTTATTTTTGAATATTGTCTCGTACTTTCAGTTACCCCTAAACTATTAGTGCCTACTCGAATATTACCTCTCACAAGCCAAGCAAATCCCTTATCAATCGATATGGGTGGACTAACCATCTATTTTATCGTGACAATATGAACCAAACAATAGTATATTGCCGTAGGTAACTTAACGAGCACGAAATGATAGTGATTTCCCACGAGAATGAAGTTTGCAGCATGAGCCGTAGGCATGTGTAAGAGCGATTTTATTCTGAGTACAATGTAGAGGACAAAAACTTCCTCAAAATTATGTCATATGTCCTGGATAGAAAAAAATCCATTTGCAGGCTTATTTTTGGTGAGTTTCAGATCTGCTATTATTGACATTCAGAGTAAGTCCATCAGGAGTTCGTTTATCATTTCAGTCGCAGAAAACGAAGTACTGAAATAAAAAAAAAACTCTTTTCCCAGTGTAGGAAAAACATTTATTTTTATTGACTATTGAGATATTCCTTATTCCTAGAAAATTCGCGTTATTTCACTTCAAGAAGCTACTGTTTGTAAAAAATCTCATCGAGTGTAAGTTTTTTACATTGACGAACAATCAAAAATAATGTTTGAATATGTTTTTCTTATTAGATTCAACATTTGTTTCGAGGAACTTGGAAGAATTGAAAATTCCAAGGTTTTTCCATATTATAATGGATAATTTCGATATGCAAGTTCAATATTGCGATAGTCCAATTTCAGGAGAAAATACTGTTTTCTCAGTGTAGGAAAAACATATATTTCACTTCAAGAAGCTACTGTTTGTAGAAATCTTATTTGAGTGTAAGTTTCTTACATTGACTAACAATCAAAAACAAAAATCGAATATGTTTTTTCCATTTGATTCCACATTCGTTTCAAGGAACTTTGAGAAATTGAAAATTCCAAGGTTTTTCCATATCATGATGGATAATTTCGATATGCAAGTTCAAGTTTGATAGTCCAATTTCAGGAGAAAATACTGTTTTCTCAGTGTAGGAAAACCATATATTTCACTTCAAGAAGCTTCTGTTTGTAGAAATCTTATTTGAGCGTGAGTTTTTTACATTGACTAACAATCAAAAATAATGTTTGAATATGTTTTTCTCATTAGAATTCACAACATTTGTTTCGAGGAACTATGAAAAATTGAGAATTCCAAGGTTTTTCCATATTATGATGGATAATTTCGGTATGGAAGTTTAAGATTGATAGTCCAATTTCAGTACAACCAATTTCAGGAGAAAATACACAACATTATGAGTTGTTCATCATAAAAATGCATCAAGACATTGAAAATACCCGCGTTTCAAGTGTGTAGTATGTAAAATAAGTTGGAATTTTATCAGCACAACAATAACATAATTGCTGTAACGGTTCAATTATCTTGCCTTTCCCACTATAGTCTTTTCTGAACTAGTTAATGAACACAAAAGTAAATTGAACTTCATAGCTTCAATAATAGGCTTTGTTGTGTGTACCGGGTGTACCACAAAGAAAGGACGCCGGCTGTATCTCGGAAACTATTTGCCGCAAAGGTTTCGAAAAAGAATATGTACAACGAAAGTGGCCAAGAGAAATCTCTGGAAATTATTTTCAAGTTTCCAGGACAGCCCCTAGAGGGCGTAATTGCATTGGCCAGTTTAATACACGGGTTTTTATGAAAATTTGATATATCAAGACATATCAAAAACACTTTTTTCATGTTCTCGAGATGATTTCCAATCATTTCGATCAAAAAAAATTGCGCTAGCTCTTCAAATAAAAGGAGGAGGGAAGGATGAATAGTACTCTGAAGAAATTCTCATTTTTACAGTTTGGTGTAACGGAATTCAACGATCTTGGTCTCATTATCAAGGTTTTGTTTTTGTTCTTTCAGATGAATCAAGAATTAAGTCGATTTGTTGTGGCCGCTAGATGACATCGTTTGAAAAATCAGACAATTTTCCATTTTTTTTTTTCGAAAATTTCAAATGGAACCATATACTCATTCTACTCCAAGTAGAGCAAACGAGAAGAAAAATGGTGAAAAAGGAAAATTGACACCTCTTGAGGAACCGGTGGAATACTCGAAATAATATTATGGAAATATTCACCACAGGAATCTAACTTCAATAATCGTAATCAGAAATATCCTGTATCTATGAAATTATGATTTCAATAGTTCATTTATTTTAGTTTCACAAACTGCTGTTATATCTCACAATAGTGAAGAAGACTCTTATAGTAATGACATAGCTAATTGAAATGTAAGTAGTGAGTATAGGCTCAGGAATGAGAAAAGGCAAGTTGGCTTTGAATGAAAGAAACGTCAACATATAATTGAAGTTTCATTGGAAGTTTTCACTGTTCATTGTGGATTGCTTATTTGTCAAAATGCCGATAACGAATGAGGAGGCTAACAGTTTAGGTTCAGATATTATTCCGAGTATTTCTCTGATTCTTCAAGAGGTATATCAACTCGCTGTTTTCATCATTTTTCTTCTCGCTTACTTTACTTTCATATCATAGCAGGAAAAATATATGGTTCCATTTGAAATTCTCAAAAAAAAGGCAAATCGGCTGATTTTTCAAACGATACCATCTAGCGGCCACCACGGGATTTAGATCGACTTGATTCGTGATTTATCGGGACGATCTGAAGAAACCCTTCATAATGAGACCAAGATCGCTTGATTCCGTTACACCAAACTGTAGTAATAAGAGTTTTTTCAGAGTACTATTCATCCTTGCCTCCCTCTTTCATTTAAAGAGCTAGCGCAATTTTTTTTTGATCGGAATGATTGGAAATCAACTCGAGAACATGGAAAAAGTGTTTCTGATATGTCTTGATGTATAAAATTTTCATAAAAACCCGTTTTTTAAGTTGGCCAATGCATATTATGCCCTCTAGCGGCTGTCCTGGAAACTTGAAAATAATTGCCAGAGATTTTTCTTGGCCACTTTTATCATAAATATCTGTTTCCGGAACCTGTACGACAAATAGTTTCCGAGATACAGCCGGCGTCCTTTCTTACTGGTACACCCGGTACATTCGAATATACAGGGTGTTATTCAATTATGTAGCAAAACTTCAAGAGGTGAATTTTTTGGGATTCAGAGACAAAATCTCAATATAACCAGGCTTGATTCAAAAAAACGATTTTTTAAAAAAATCTCGAAATTTATCAATTTCCTGACGTCTGTTTGTGGGCAATTTTCGTCTTAGAACAACCCCTTCGAAGTTTGGCCACATACTTGAATAATACCCAGTAGGTAGAGTACATTGTTTCTAGAACGTTTCTCAAGATACAACCAATACATTGAAATTGAATCTAAATTCTAAAGTTGAAGTAGATTTTTTTTTTATTAACTAGTGTATCATACTATAAATGCTCAACATTAATGCTTCAAGAAATTCAATAAATTTTTTCTTTCAATTACCTGATGTTCGACTATCGAACCTGTGGAAATGATTCCCTCATCTCGTCAGAATGAGATTCTACAGAATGTCAAAGGTGTGCAAATTTTCAAAATTTTCAATGCGGAAGGCCATTGAAAGAAAAATTTACAATTTTTTTCTGAGGTGACAGATATATTGCACTCTATGTTTTCACTTCAGTCTACCCGAAACTGTTCACAAATTTTTAAAATTGTAACATTCATTACTGAAATATGCATGTATTTTTTAAGGGACTGCATAATTTGATGCTACTATAATATTGGCTGTGTTTTCTTGTCATTCTGGATCAAACGGTGATTGACAATTGGAATGATTGATATACATGATCAACATACTCATTGATACAGGGTGGTCCTTAAAAAACAATTGTCACGAATTCAAATGAAACCATTGAAAACTTGCATTGTGGCGAACAAAAAAAGTTTGAAATTATTCGGTATTCTCATTATTCGATATCGATTCAGATGTTTTCTAGCCATAAAAGCGTGTAGGTGAAGGTATTCTCACCATGTAAAGTTGTTGCAGAACCTGCTGTAAAGAACCGAATTTTAGAAGGTCGTTCTCACTTTGCGATACAAGTTTGGAAGATAATTTTATACAAGGAAAATAAGATATACAGGGTGGCTCACGATCGATGGTAGGTTAGAACATATAGATAGAAGTTTATGGATAACGCAACGAGGAATTTTATCACCCGTTCTATGGATCTAAGATGTTTTCAACGTTGTCGCTTTTATCGAAATGTCCAAGCAGCTTTATTATTTTGAATGGATCACCCTGTACATTATTGCAATTTTTGATTCTGCCTAGACAGCTGATTTCATCGTAACATCACACTTAGAGTCTATCGAAAATTATAAAAGAGATATGGGGTTTTCAAAATCGAGATTTTTCAACTATTTTTGGCTCTGAGGCAGACAACTGTTGTAAGTGAGAAGTTGATCGAAAAACTTACGATTTTACGTTTAGTGTTGGAGCAGTTTATTTCATGCTGCTATTTTATGTTGATGTTTTCTATCACATAAAAATTGCAATGCCTGTGAATCTATTTGAACTTCATTTATTTATACTGAACTGAAAATAGCTGACCATCGTTTATGCATTAAAGTCTGCCTACCATTCAGATTTCATTTATCATGCTGCTGCAAAACTGAGACAAGTAGAAAACAATTCTTGTATTATGTATCTTTCGTTCAATCAATATACGGTGAAATTTTACTCAATCAGCGTTTCTTTGATTCTTCATTCATTCATTATATCATGAAAACCCTCGTGAAAACCTTATGAAATACATTATAAAAATGAATTTCTCATTAGTTTCTCAGGTACCAATATTTTTTCAGAGTTCATGAAAATTACTAAGGTACTATTGAATGAACGAAGAAGAAAAAATTGCTTTCTCTTCAGTTTATGTAGAAAGAACATAATATTCAGACCTTTAATATGGCAAACATTGCTACGTTCAACTGCAAATACAAAATGGAGCCTGTATCGAACCCTGGAAATCACCCCCTATATTGATGAATGGATGAGTGTCAAAATCACTGGTGTGGAATTTTCACTTATAATATCTTCGACTCAATTTTCAAAATATTCGTGTTTTCGAAAAAATTTCTGGAAATAATTGGACCTAAAGTGGTATTCAGTAAAAAAATTTACATTTTGATGGTTTTGTTCGTGATGAAATGTAAGAACTAACGTATAGTAACAGCATGTATTTTTGTAAATTTCGAATTTGCAAGTATACCTACATAATATTATATGGTAAACTGTTGATAAATGATTTTTATTTATTGACTTCCAGAATAAACTCGAAATAATCTGAAGTTGGATGTAAATGTCATTTAACCTAGGTATACAGTGGCATCATATGGGAAAAACTTTTATCAATGACTCGTTTTGGAATTCGAGTTGGACGTTGAGTTTCGCTTCAAAAAAGATGAAAAATGGCCTACTCAATCGGGGTCACGTGACTTTCGCTACATGTCAAAAGTGAAATTTTTTCAAATTAATCACTGAAAGTTGGCTTATTTGTTCGAATATCGAAAAAGTTTACTTGAAAAAGTTGTTTCTATTTCAATTTTACACATGCTTCTCGAATTTGATCTTTCTATTGCAACTTTTAGATTTTGATTTATTTTTAAAAAATTTCGAAATTTCTTAATATTTGAAGAATTGTTAATTCCACGAAACTACTTCATACCAGTAGATTTTTCATGCTACTTACTTTCGATAACTTATTATCACTAATTATGGACAGAAATATGATTTTCTTCAGAAAATGATAATACCCGCTTCCGAATTCTGTTATGTTCGATGCAAGCATTTAGAAACGAAATTCATTTAAAGTGATCTTTTCAGTACTGAAGAAATGAATTCAAATGAATTTCTTTTTTAAATGCTTGACTCAAACATAACAGAATTTTGAAGTGGAGATTATCATTTTCTGAAGAAAATCATATTTTTGTCGATAATTAGTGATAATTAGTGATTGAAAGTTGGTAACATGATGAAGCTACTGGTATGAAGTAGTTTTATCGAATTTACAATTTTTTTTAATATTACAAAAACGAAAATTTTTAAAAAATATGGAAATCTAGAAAATGTAATAGAAAGATAAAATCCGAATCACATTGTAAAATTCAAATAGAAACAACTTTTTCAAGTAAACTTTTTCGATATTCGAACGAATAAGCCTACTTTCAGCGATTAATTTGAAAAAATTTCACTTTTGACATGTAGCGAGAGTCACGTGACCCCGATCGAGTAGGCCATGTTTCATCTTTTTTGAAGCAAAACTCAACGTCCAACTCGAATTTCAAAATAAGTCATTAATGAAAGTTTTTCCCATATGATGCCGACTTTATGAATGACACTGTATAAGCGTCAAAAAATGTCCAGTGTAATTTCATGCTCCGTCCTCCAAGGAGGAGGAAAACATTTCCAAGAAATTTGTTTAGTTGCTATGGTAACGATACAAAATACAGGCTTTAAATTGATCGAAAATGTTTGGTGTGAAATGTTCATTGATATGTCAGGTTTAGTTCAACAAAAATAGATTTCTTGTGAAGTATAGTGAGAAAAATTCAATGATTGACAATAATTTATCTTCTCCTGTGGTTGGACATCGCCGCGTTGCAACTTTCAGGTCAGATAACGAGACTTCTCAACAGACTTCTTCTTATTATTATTGGGCGTGTGAGTTGTTGGAAGCGCTGTTGCCAATCCGCACGTATTATTTACTGAACAAGGGGAAGAAATCTGCTTACCTGTTGTTTAGGCGAAGCACTAGACGAACCATTCATGTTGCTGAGCTTAGACACTTCACTCAGCAACGGTGTACTCTGCAACAAACGGAATTGAGGAAGATGAAACCGAATTTAGACACGAAATTGATGTCGATGCATCGAGCTAAAACATTGTAATGGGCTATCAAGGGACTATCATTCGTCGTTTCCTGCAGGACAGAAGATAAGGCACATTGAAAATAAAGCGATGTATTTCAAATGTCATTGAAAACGGTTAGTTCAGAGTTCAGGTGAGGAAAACAGGATATTAGATTACATCTCTGTGCCTGTAGTCCTTATCCAGCTGCCATAGTTGCGGTAAAACCGTATTTCACCGCACTGAAGGAAAAACCAGGAAAACAAATAACAAGTTACTCGCTATTGTACAGGGTGTCCTTGGAAGGTATTCACTGAAACTAGAGTTCCTAAATGTACTTGACACTGCTGTTTTGACATTGTTTGTATTCGCGGGAATCAATGTTACCAGGTGGCGCTCGGTTTTCATCGTTCCATGTCAAAGCCAAGTCAAAACTGGGGGAAAACAAACTCAATCCTCACTCGATCCCATTAATGTCATCAGCTTGTGTACTGTGTACTGATAAGAGTGATAAGTTTTCGAATTTTTTGACTTTAATTGTCAATATTCGATCGAAAACGCTAATAATGCCTGTTGTAGAGATGTTTTGGCAGATATTTTGCTCTATCTAGATGGAAAAAGTCGACCAGTAGTAGAAGGAGAAGCAGTTCTCCGTGCTAATCATGTGATTTTGTGTGAGGCAGAAGACTTCAACAAAAGGCACATTTTTGCCCACAAACTTTGGCGATGAAATCTTTCCCACATGAAGTAAAATTGAAGTTGGGGTCCAGAGGAACTCCTGTAGAACAATGGATTTGTATTTGCAAAGCAGGAAAATCTGGGTATTGTAAACATGTTGTTACCTGTTCTTTTATATGTCAATTGATTTGCTCGTCATAATTAGTTTAAATTGTTAGAACTATCTCCAATTCTTCACCCGTTCACTGTTCACTAAACTGATAAAAATGTAATAATGTATAAAAATTAACCAACTATCATCCATCATCACTACCAACAGTGCCAACACTTTATTTTATTGACAAGTTTGACTACAGCTATACAGCAAGCTGAATGCAATGAAGTCTATGCACTTTATCCATTGACAACAGTTTGTTTTCCCCCAGTTTGAAGTTCGTATTATATAACCTAGATGTCGCCCACTCCGTGAATCTCGCGAATATAAGAGTACGGATACTAGACAAGCAGTGACAATCAAACATAACCACAAACGATTTTGAAGCAGATCATATGTTTCGCCAGACAAGGACAAGAATATGTTTTTCGCTTAGATAAAGGATCCTCGCATCTTCCTTCCTCCACAAGTCCTGGGAAGAGTACATCCATATATCTTTCTCTGTCTTTGATTTTTGTATGAGAGTGCATAGCGTCTCCTCGAGTGGGTAAAAGGGTACAAAAAATTGATTAGAAAATTATGTCTCCTCCAAATATTGAATGATAAGGCTGAAGGACCTCAATGGAGGTCGATATCAAGTTGGTATGTACATATATACCAACCAATGAAATGAAATAAGTCTCTCATATGTAGGTATGTATTTACATTCAGTTGAATATTTTTTTATCACAAATGTTCAGAATAAAGTAAAAGCTGATAAATTTCAACCAATGAAACATACTTTTATTTCATATGGAACAATTTCACTTGTACGAGAGTGGTAGAAATATGGCAACAATATAATATAACAACTGATTTCAGTTAGGATAAATAATGAACGCAGTTTCCAAACTTTTTGCATCCCATCTGTTACCATCAAATTTTGAACTCTCATAAAAAGAAACATTTTTACTAATATTTGTAATTCACATCTTCCAAAAATATAGACCAAGGAACAATAATCCATAGAATTTTTGCCGCAAATTTGATTAACACCCTGTATACCACTTGATTTCTAAACGTAGGTACTGTTTCATAAATCTGTGCCATTGCCAATTACCAAAATAATGCCGTGCTTCCCCTATAATAAATAAATGGTACATTGACAATGAAAATGATTACGTTACCATTTAAAAAACAATACCCACATAGCTGTATCGAGAGACCAGCACAGATATGATTCAAGGAGGTGAAAACGAATGTACAGTGTACAGTTAACTATTTTGCATACATCCAATGGAGATTGATGGATATTAGATTAGTCGAGCATGCATTAGAGTTCCTTGATATAATTGTATTCTATTTATATGTCATTTATGCTCAGGCGGCTAGACAAGGGGGAGGGTAATAGGAGTAATAAGGGTACGGGAGCCGAAATATAATATATGAGGACAGACCCAGAACTAGGGCTTGTGCTTATTTGGGGAGTCATTTTTTCAGTATTCCAGGCAGAGGTGCATGCAATAAATTGAGATATGTCTGTGAGAGAATATCGTGAGAAGATACAGAGATAAAATCAGGTAACGACTGGTCTGGGATTGCTTCCAAAGCCGGCTAACCCTGGCTAACCACAATAAGGTAATGCGTCAATGGGTGCCAGGGCATAACGGAATGGGGAAGTTTTCTATATTGAAGTTTTTATCTCACTGTGAAGTTTGTGTAGAAAATTGATCTATACATATTTTTCTTTTTTTCTTAATATCAAATTTCACTTCACAAAAAAATAAATAAAAGAGGAACTTGGCTCCTCCACCATTTATATAACGTACTTTTTGAAAATCCACATTCATACAGAGTAAGAATACGATTTCCAGTGCCAGTACGACGTTGCCGACATCATAAATATGTCTAGATTTCCCGAAATTGTTTTTTGAACCCATAATAACTATATCATAACAGCAATGGGATATAATAGGTTCTTCAATCCTATACTTTGTCAAGTATTATGAATAATTCCCATTAATCTCTCATTGGCTGAATGAAGTTGATTACTGATGAAGATAAGTTGCGAGAGCATCCATAATTTTTCACTATCGTTATATTACAATATGTTATTCATAACTTGTCAGTCATTTTTTTACCCCCCCCCCCCTTTCGGGAATATCCAAACGTACCACAATTCAAGCTGCTCAAGTAAGTGGCAGAGCGTCAATATTTCGTCCACAAAATCAATATTTCACTCCGACGGTTCATCGGATATTATCGTTTATCTGTGCCGAGGATTTGACTCAGGGGACATTTTGCTCAGGATATTGATAGACACAGGTGCATTTCGATAAAATGTCATGTTTTTACATGACTTTTGAACATATTATGTCATCTCATTATCAGATGACGGTCTTATATACTTTGGAGAACTTCCTAAATTCTGAAAACTTTCATGGAATTCAAAGAACCCTGGAGGAATGTTCCAATTACAATGATAAAATATCATGTACTTTCAAGGCAAATCAAGAAAAATCGCAGAGTTCCTCAGCTTTTCATGAACTAACAACTACTTTCACGGAATATATTAATTTCCATAGAATCTCAACTTGTCTTCTTGATACTCTTTTTGAAACTTCTACGTATTTCCGAGAACTTTCATTGAATCTCAAGAAATTTCATAGGATTTTGAAACCACCTATACGGAATCAAAGGACTCCCGTGAGTTTTCAAGGACTTCCATCGAATAAAATTCCAGATGCTACCACCACGTGACTCACCATGTAGTACAGACTGTTTCTGGCGCTCTGTTTGCTGCTAGTCGATCCCTCTCGCTTCCTGATGATGGCCGAATCCAAAGAATCCTTGCGATGGTGATAAGGTTCCGCATAAACAGGCTCTTCTTCTGGACTGCTGACGAAAAAACACGAATTAGGTTCTTTGATTTTCTCGTAATTGGTCATCGCGAACCTAAGACCATTCAGGCAATTCAAATTGAAAGCTGAGGTGTCTTGGTAATCAGAATCCTGGCTTGGTAGCCTAGGTAAAGTACGGGTCGACTTTTCATTGGTTTTGCTGCGGAATAACAAGCTGTCATCGCTGTCTTCCCCAGAAGTTGTAGAAATGTCAACTTTGGCTTGCCGTCGGGCTTTCAGTTTGTTGTTTCTCAGCGCGTTTTCTAGCTTGTTGAGCATGTATTTCGGGTCGGCTTTCTTTGCTACTTTCTGGGGTTTTTTCTCGGGTTGCTTGGAGACGTGCAAAAAGGAAATGTTTTTTTCAAGGTTCGAGACTTGGAATGTTCGAGGGGGTTTTTTAGGTGCAGGACCGACAGGAAGCGGTCGCTTTAAAGCTATTTTCAAGGTATCAGTAAGGCTTTCATCCGTATTTTTCGGAGGTAAATCGGAAATTTTCAAGGTGCTTGTACTGTAGATGTCTTTCACTTGATTCTCTAGTTTTGCCGGCTCTTCGATTTCTACGGTGTTTTTTATACGGAGAGCTTTAGGAATCGGCTCGGTATACAACAGTGACAAGTCCACATTTTCTAAATTCCTATTCGTTATCAACTCGTACTGGTTTTCCTCGCTTTCATTGTTATTGCTTGTATTTCTATCGAATTTACTACGTATGTACTGGAAGTCATGGGAGCTTTTTGATTTAACTAATAAAGGTCTAGTTTTCACATTTTTCACTTCGTTAACCAACAATGGTTTTTTGTCACTTGTTTCACTATCTTCATTGCTATTGCTATCACAGCTGTATTTAGAGGCACTGAACTGTTTGACTTTGTTTTCGAATAAGGTACTTCGGTTGTAACAATTTCTTTGGAAAGAGCTAGGCCTTTCTACACTTCTATCCACGCGGAAAGCTGGAGTTCTCTTGATATTGCTCCTTCTAGACTGATCACTGAGCTGCCTTTGCAAAATTGGCTTATTCAACGGGCTCTCAGTTGGCTTTTCGGTTTTTTCAAGAGGCCTATTGGAGTTCAAGTTATTCCTATACCCATTTTTCGCATTATTTTTCTCTGGAGGTTTGTTATTTTCGATGTTTTCGAACTTGCTTTTGATTGTTTTCACTCTATTCGAGTTCTGTGGAGGTCTATACATAATTTCTCACGGATTAAAAGCCGTTTTGGTTCACATCTTGCCAGACAGGAAGTGATCAATTTGTTTCAACAAGTGGCACAGCATCAGGTAAAGGAAAACAGGGTTTATCTGTAAAATAAACGTTGAAAATTAGGCTTACCTTCTCGATAGAAGAGTCACAATGTTACTAATTCGGGTTTGGTCATTTAACAACTTACCAGGAGCTCGTAAGGCCAATATGTGGTTCAATTACCAAGAATTAATTAATCTGCAGCTGTTGGGACAGTAAGCAGAGTGTTTCTTTTCACGATCACGACTGTTGAATGTTTATGGTGTTGTTCGCTCGACAAACCAATGTTGTCAGATGTACAGCGGTAAAAGTCTTCGGTTTCTAAAGCTAGTGGAAAAATATTACAATTCTAGCAATCAAGTGTCCAGTTCATTTATTGGTTCGTTTCGATTTCACATTGTATTTTCATTCGACATGACGAAGAAATGACACTCATTTATACGAAGAAAATCTGTACTTACGTCATAGATTACATAAATTTCCATTTAAAAATCCATTATTCATGTACCAGATACCAGATTGGAATATATATCTGATATATTTGCTTCGGAAAAAATTTAGCAAGTAAGTAAGTATTTATTTTCATAAGACAACAAGTATATAAATTGTCAATTCGGGATAGAAATGAATATAGTCCCTAGAAGTGCCCATAAATAGGTATAATCTGAGACAAAAACGATGGAATTATGGATAAAGATTATCGAAATAGTAAGTGAGGATGAGCAGAGTTTGACCATCAGGTATCGCGTGCGGAAAATTCACTTTACGTATACGTGTTATTTACACTATTTTTTCTACTAGCGTGGAGAAAAAACCCAAAATTTAACATGACGAAACATTGATTTTTATCAAATAGGTATTCTATTGGCAGTCATAAACTCCCCAGAAACTTAACAAATTCACTTTTCCGCACTAGTGCGTAAAAGTGACACTTTCAACACTAAAATGAGTGCGGCAAAGTGGACTTTTCTGGACGCTAGTAGGAAAAAGCATTCAGAGCTATTAAATGAAAATATAATCAAGGACTTCATCAACGCTTTCAGAACGTTGTATTCACTACTACGAAAAAATCTGTGATGTGGCGTCACTGTAAACATAACAATTCTGACCTTCGTTGATGCATAATCGGGATTCTCTATCTTGGGATTCTCCCTCCTTTCTACACTGCAAGTATGCAACCAGCATAACATTGATTCAAAAGTTGCTTACTGTATATCGAATGATAAGATTGATTGTTTTCGCTTGATCAACCTATATATTATTTATGTTCGCAAAAACATAATACCTATACTCGAGGATTAGATACCTACCTAGTTGATTGATTATCTAAGGAAGAAACGGAGAAGAAGAAGTGTTCGAGACAATAAAAATTGTGCATTTAATCCTAAATATTTTTTTGTTTATTCGTTATCGCAGAATGCATCACTAGTACTACAAAAGAATTATTGATCTGGCATCACTGTAAAACTTTGCCACTATGCAACCAGCATCACAGCATCCTTCAATAAAAGTTGCCTATTGGTTTTGAATAGAAAGCTTATCTTTATTCTGATATTCTGAAGGTTCTTTCATGAATTTGAAGCACAAGAGTGAGGACATATTCCAGTTGCATTACTTCGTATTGGTCCCCATAAGTCGAAACTTTTGCAGGGCTAGGTAAGCATACATTCAAAAAAATCCATGGTCTAACTGGGATTCGACCCCATGTCTCGGTGTGAAGATCCCCATACGAACAGCACACATTAGAAGTCTCCATTTCATAATATAAAAATAATGAACGGGAAAGAAACCTCAAATTCGTGTCCACAAATTTACTGGCGACATGTGCAATTAATTCTGCTTCATTACTTTTGATTGAGACATGTCAATCAAAAGCCATCTTGAATTTTGAAAATTTCACGAAAGAATCATAATTTCTGATCCCGAAAACCCGCGAAGATACAAATTTTGAATAGATTCGGATCATAATAACAAAACTCGTCTGCCATATTGGATCCAACATCTTGAATTCCTAAAGGACCCCGCACTTTTAGTACGTAAAATGGTTCTCGGTGAAATTTTCTGAATTTTCAGTATGTTGTAGAATTCGATGAACTGATTGAACCTGCAGAATCGTGAAGTTCTTTGATGAACAGATTCTGAGATACAGGGCGTTGAAGTTACAAATCGGTATTTTTCATTTAATTATTTTCTCGAAATTCGAAGATGCCAAGTACAATTTTTTTCGCTCATATCATCAACGAACCTCCATATTACTCAACATAATTCAGATGGTTCAGATAATGTAATTGTTTACAGAGTGAAACATATAAACATTTCAGTGATGTCTGAAAATTCGATGTAGTAATGAAATATCGAAAAAATAATTCAGGCATGCAATATACTATCCTCATTCCATCATGAATCACAATTCATACATTTCATACAGGGTGATTTGAAAAATTAGTGACACCTAAGGCCGATTTATTCATACACATCCTGTATATTCGAGTGAATTGTTAACCTCCCAAGATAGCTGATACCGTATGAACATGATTTCGTTGAGATATATAGGGTGATCATGAAGATTTTCGATGATGAAAATGACAAAAAATCGTGTTTTTTGAAATCACCCTTTCATTCATGATCAACTCGGTGAAATTCCCTAATTATTTTTTAATATATTCATCATTCGCTCCTCAACGCTGTCTTGAAAATTCAGTTTCCTATCATGACGGGTGTCATAGTTATTAATTCAGGAACTTACCATTTGCATGAAGAGTTGAAGAGACTTGTTCACTTACATTCGCATAGTGGCCGATATTTTTCACAAATAGTGAAACGTGAGAATGTGGAGACGAAAATAAGTTGAGTATTCATATACAGGGTGAACATTAGAAATTCAATAACAATAAAAGATATATGAATTTAATAATATTAATTATAATATATAGATAGTTAGGCGAATATCGTTGGTATACAAGCTCTGCCAAAATGAAAAACGAACAATACCTTGGAGATGGGAGAATGATTCGGTCTTTCACGCTTCCATTTCTAATAGTGAGAGGTGAATCCTGGAATCGACAGATTTTTTCACATTTGTTTTCCACTCAGAATCAGGCGTTTCCATCATTTTCATATTTGCTTGCTATCAGTAATTATTATAATATCATTAGATTCATATTCATATCACATTCCAATGATATAATTCAATACGTATACCGGGTGGCTACGGAAGTATTGCCTACGGAATATCTCAGTTATTGTATGAAGTAGGTTTGTGAAATTTGAAGCGTCGATATAATGACATAAGAGCTAGAATTTGAGCATATTGACATGTCGAAGTTAACTTCCGGTCTGACCGGAAGTAACTTCAACTTTCTTATTTTAAAAGGAAACCCAATCTTTTTCTTTTCGCTTTATTCAGCATTTGATTCCCTTTCTAATGACATATCACAAGTTGGTATCTAACCAGAAACTAAATCAGAAAAAAATTATTATTGAAATTCACCGAGTAGGCCCTGGAAGCAAAATGAAAGCCAAAAATTGAAAAGTTAGCTATGAAAACCATACGTCACTTGATAAGAGTTGCTACCCGATCATTCTCCCATCTCCTAGGTATTGTTCGTTTTTCATTTTGGCAGAGCTTGTATACCAACAAAATTCGCCTAACTATCTGTACATTATATTATTATTATTCAATTCATATATCTGCTATTTTTATTGTATTCCTAATGTTCTCCCTGTATATGAATACTGAACTTATTTTCGTCTCCACATTCTCACGTTCCACTATTTGTGAAAAATATCGGCCACCATGCGAATGTAAGTGAACAAGTCTCTTCAACTCTTTATGCAAATGGTAAGTTCCTGAATTAATAACTATGACACCCGTCATGATAGGAAACTGAATTTTCAAGACAGCGTTGAGGAGCGAATGATGAATATATTAAAAAATAATTAGGGAATTTCACCGATTTAATCATGAATAACAGGGTGATTTCAAAAAACACGATTTTTTGTCATTTTCTTCATCGAAAATCTTCATGATCACCCTATATATCTCAACGAAATCATGTTCATACGGTATCAGCTATCTTGGGAGGTTAACAATTCACTCGAATATACAGGATGTGTATGAATAAATCGGCCTTAGGTGTCACTAATTTTTCAAATCACCCTGTATGAAATGTATGAATTGTGATTCATGATGGAATGAGGATAGTATATTGCATGCCTGAATTATTTTTTCGATATTTCATTACTACATCGAATTTTCAGACATCACTGAAATGTTTATATGTTTCACTCTGTAAACAATTACATTATCTGAACCATCTGAATTATGTTGAGTAATATGGAGGTTCGTTGATGATATGAGCGAAAAAAATTGTACTTGGCATCTTTGAATTTCGAGAAAATGATTAAATTAAAAATACCGATTTGAAACTTCAACGCCCTGTATCTCAGAATCTGTTCATCAAAGAACTTTACGATTCAGCAGGTTCAATCAGTTCATCGAATTCTACAACATACTGAAAATTCAGAAAATTTCACCGAGAACCATTTTACGTACTAAAAGTGCGGGGTCCTTTCCTTCGAACCCGAAAAGCCTCAGATGAAAATTTTGAATAGATTCGGATCATAATTACAAAACTCGTCCGCCATTTTCGAGAACAAAAATTTCATGATGCATTGCCACCCAAACTATGTACACCTGCCAAATTTCAAATCTATCGGGCCGTTTAGAGTGGGTCAAAATTGAGTTTTAATAATACAGTGTTAATGAAAAGGAATCGAAAACGCAAAATATTATTACTAATGTATATTTCTTCATAAAATACAATGGAAACAATAATAAAAACAAACTTCAACTCTTGGTGAATGTCATAATAATGCGGATTGTCAAACAATCATAAAGAATAATATAGAAAATAGATCCAATGGTAAAAAATGTACAGTGTATCACAAAAAAGGATCCTTTATTTTTCTGTTCTACTTTCGATGCTCTCTTCTAGGGCTGCTTGAAGTCCTTCTGGATGTCTACCTGCATCTATATCTTGTGCCCACAGATGATACTGAAAAAATACAGTTTCGTTTTTGACATAAGAGTGATCACAGCTATAGCAAGAAAATGAATAATAGAACGACTATTGACAGATTTCAAAGTCATCATCATCTAGCGTTGGGATGACATCTAGAAATAAGTAGGGAAAACAATTCTTCAACTCCTTGGCATAGATTGAAAGTCAGACGTTGTTTCCCTACCGCTAAGTGTCATTAAAACGTCATCTGATGACCTTGAGATTCATTAACGGAGGCACAAAGTGGGGTTGGATGGCAAGAAATTGAAAAATGTTAGTTGAAAAACTTGCTTTCAGATTCAAGCTATATACCTAATGCTTTCAACAACTCAAAAATACTTTCTTTGTGATTGTACTTTACCTGTTCTAATTCTTGTCTCAGAGCAAATACGGCTTTTTCTCTGTCAGCTACAAGTTCTTCCAGATATTGGTATCGCAATTTTTTACGAGCTCGACATTCTCTAGCACTTTGACGACTACGTTCTGAAAAATAAATTTGAAATGTTACATCCAAAAAATTCAGCATGTATCACTTCAAACGCCCCCAACCCTCCCTCTATATCTCAGCGATTAGTCACTAAATTTGGACCAGTATGAATAACCATCAATATGATCACTTTTTTAGAGACATCATTTTGGACAGTGCCGTACGATTTTATTGAAATGAAAGAGGGGTGAATTTTCCATGAAATCATATTAGAAATTTTGTAACTGGAAGACTGACTTTATATTATTGTTCTTCATAGTTTCAAACCCCCATATGTGAATTTTCATAAGATTTCTATTCTATAAAGGGTTTCAAAAAACAGGCAGATATGCATCTGATTTCCAATGTTTGGTGAAAAATGAGTTAGATGTCGCTTTCGATAGATTTTGTATCGAAAAATACGATGAATTTATAATTTAGCTTGAAAATGTACATTTTCTCATGATATTCTAAGACAGAAAAAAGGTGGATTCCAAAACGTACAAACTCCTTTGACTTTTGGGCGTCAAAATTCACAACCTCCCAGCTAGTTTTAAAAATCAAAATGTCCAATCTCCAATGGAATTTTCATATCACTCGTGGTGAATTATTTCAAAGCATGCAATATCCTGATCCCATTCATCAGAAAAACTGTAACCAAAACTAAAAATCGACACGTCCAAGCGATCTTCCAGCCAACAACCTCTTGAATTTTAAATGTATTCGTTCCAAACACAAAAAAACTCAATGCATTTTTCTGATGTACTTTGAAGTGTGACTCTTCCCAGGATAATAAAAATTCGTTTCTAATGAAATTCATACCTAATTTGGCTTTCATGTCAACCTTTTCAGATGATTTTCTGCCTGGTTTCCGTCCTCTCTTCCCCGATTCCTTGCGAGAAGGACCCTCCTGGAAAACAAAGTTAAAAAAAATATTACGAGGTATACAAAAAAGCCTTTATGCTCGGCCAGGTGTAAGGTAGCACTTTACTGCCCGGTTTTGAAAAAATGGTTTGAAAAAATAAAAAAAACACGCTTGAAGGCAATGAGAACTGTTATCATTGAATCTTTTAATGAAACAAATGAAACAACTCTCGGTTTGCACTTGGCAACAAGCAACAGTAGTTTTTATCCGTTATAAGTACACATACTTTTCTTGATAAACGCAGAAATAATGACATCGCGATTGAAATTGAAATACTTTGATGACCTTCGGTTTGTATATTATTTCGTTCTTTTCAATAGAAGAAGTCGCTTACGGAAAATGATTTCAGTCATCACAATGCTTAACATTTTTCTCCTTCAAGTCATATGAGACATAAATATAATATCTTCACTCTCTCAGTGTATAATTTCGAAGATTTGATGAATTTGATTGTTCCCGAACAAATAACATATTTGTGAAACATATTTAATCGGATGTGCAATTGATTACGAATGCAAAACTTCATCGAATACCTACCTACTTATACCTTCAATTTGCCTGATAACTGAAGATAAATAAACCACATAAAACCTTGTTGTTTTAATATTTATTCAATGTGTCAGGAATGTCAGGATAAGAATCTCAAAGACGTCTGGTGATCAAAATCACACCACACCATTGTGGATTTTTCATTCCATTTATCATTTATTTTGTGTGAATTTTGTAGTAGTTATGTTATACAGTGTGTGGGTCAGATTTACACTGATAAATACAATATTCACAGATACGATATTTTCTCAACACGTATTCTAAAAGTGTTTGAAAATATTCCGATATTTTGTGAGAAAAGTATATCATGCCATACACTGTCAGGTCAGAAGGAAGAAGGAGTATACAGTGTGTCCCAGCTAAAACCTGTCACCCCCCAAATCTCCGATGTCGTATAAAAAATTGAAAATTGCTCGAACTGGTCGATTTCGATTTCGCGGTAGACATATTTTTCTGCAATTATCATATTCAAAAGTTGAAACCTTGAAGCGTAACGTTTATCAACTTTCGATTTTCAAATGGAACACCTTGTATTTCATTGCATTTTTAGATTCTCCCTGAAGAGCTGCTTTCATCAATGTATCTTACTTGGTGTCTAGCAGGAATGATTACAAAGATTTAGGGTGTTCAAAATCGAGATTTTTCAACTTTAGAATTTTTTGTGTCGAAACTATTCATTATCGGCGAGATTATCGGTCTAAAATTACTTCCATAACAATGGAAATCAGTCATTATGAATGAAAACAGATTCAGATCCACTGGAGCAATACTATAAAAACCTGGTGGGCATACGCATGTATACGTGAGCAAATGTAACTATCATTTTAGTTCTTGTTCACTGAGTCTTGACACACTTTTTTTTGTTGCGTAAAAATACTCCTTGCCTAATAGGTATCATAATATAGGTAGTTACACTCATAATGAGTATACATTCGAATGTATATACTAATGGAAGGTATGTTTAGGCACAGATTTAGGTACAATTTTCATTGTAAAACTGAAATGGAACATACAGGGTGATTCATAAGTAAGCGGCATCCTTCCAGGGGCGCATTCCTTACATGAAAATAAGGCAAAAAGTTTTTATTAATAAGGGCTCAAAAAATCTTCCTAAGGGAGCTACGCCAATTTGAATAGGACACCTCAGGCGATTTTTTCTCTGTAACTTTAAAATCCTTCACAATAAACATTTGATGGTGAATAAGCCTGTGAATTCAAAATTTCAAATTTTTTTTCAGGGGTGCGGGAAAAGGTAAGTGTGAAAACATCATTTTTTTTATATTCAAGTTATGGTGACTTACGCAAATCAGAAAGTTTTCAAAGTTAATTTTCTCCTAAATGGTACGCTCTATCGAAATGAACTAGGAGAACCTTTTTCACGTGAAAAATTCTAGAATTTTATAATTTTCAAACGAAATCACGATAACCTGAATATCAAAAGAAGAAGGGATGTTTTTACACGCACCTGAATGAAATTTTGCAATTTTGAATTCAGAGTCTTGTTTACCATCAAATGTTTACGCCGTACCAATTTTCGAAGATTCATTGTGAAGGATTTAGAAGATATAAAGAAAAATTCGTCTTTGAGGTGTAGGAACTTTTTTTCCTCATTTTAATGCAAGGAATATGTCCCTGGAAGGATGCCACTTACTTTTGAATCACCCTGTATAGCGAGGCTATAGAGTATTTTTCGAGGTAATATTGTATTGATACGAAAGATCTGATAATTTTGAACTATCAGACTAGATGACGTCTAGAGAGAAAGATAAAGAGAGAGAGATCAATCGTCAACAGCATGAGAGTGAGGCGTAAGAAGCATTTAAAAAAATTATTAGATGACAACTTGATTTCACCTCTCTATTTCAGAAAACTAAAAGTTTTTCGATGATTAGCAATTGCTTCAACATGTTTTTTGATGGAAAAACACAAAACACAGTCACCAACAAAAAACAATTTCAATAAATAAACATCCCGGGACGCATATTTACGTTTCCTATACAGCCAGCGCGATTGGTCGCTCTCACGAGATAGGGAATGGAGTGCATCCTGGAGCATTCCGTTTCCTAGCTGATATGCGCGACCAACGACCATCGGCGTTCCCGCCAAGAAAGAAATTGATTGCGAATTGTTCGTGCAAGCTCTATGCGAGAGTAAAATCGCCAGTAAATATATGAATTTTATTGAATATTTCGACAAAATGTGGCAGAGAAGACAGGATTGGTGTCATTGTTTTCGAAATAAACTGTGCAATAGGGGCCATAATACAAACAATTTAGTAGAAGTATCAATAAGAGTTTTTTAGGATTTGGTACTACAAAGATGTAAGGCTTTCAACACAGTATCCTTAGTAGAATTCATCTCTTTATCACTGGAGGACTTCTACAAAGAAAAATTGTTGCGTTATGCTAGCTCCAGGAATAACAAATTGTTAATTTATTTTACGAAATTTTGCAAAAAATCGGTTGATCTTCGTGTTGTGAAAGTGTCTCAAGATCAGTTTACAGTTACTTCAGCTGCAGATGAGACATTTTCGTACCAAGTCAATACAAAGTTGGCGTTGGCAAAGTGTGTGACTGTCCAGAAAGGGCAGGAGGGAAATTTTGCAAGCATCTGTTCGCTGTATATAATACTGGTGTGCAGATGCACAACGTTTGTAATATTTTTTACAAGACAAAATAGAACTTGCTACGTTAACACTTGGAAATACTATCAGTATAGTGCCAATTTCTTCAAAGATGGATAAAGAAAAAGATAACGAAATTACTGTAGATTTTGGCGAACCCATGATGTTGGAAACGGAAGATGGCCTTAATGAGACGACTCCTGATGAAGAAAATAATTTTTCGGTTGGAGTGAACGAAACTAAAACTGATGGATCAGTCGAACTCAAAGAATTCAAGGACAATTTGAAAAAGATTAGCAGCTTCGTGGAATCTCATCCAGCACTATTGCCTATTGTGACGAAGTTCAATAGGCAGATGAAGAGAAAATGGATAGCGAAGTTTCGTTCTATGCTCTATGTTCCTCGTTTACTAGTCAGAAAAAGTCTCACAGAATTAATGTTCAACCTACCTCTATTGCTAGAAGAACATCTGCTTACAGAGGTGCCAAAGCTATACAAGCGGGCCTACAAAATACCACGAACGCTGTAAAAGTTCCGTTTCATTGTCAAATTGTGTCTTCATCAGACTGAAAATTAGTGTGGAAAACAAAATCTGTAAATAATCCTGACCCATGCACCACAGAGCAGCCGATGGTCGTTTATCGTTGGTCGCGCATATCAGCTAGGAAACGGAGTGCTCCAGGATGCACTCCATTCCCTATCTCGTGAGAGCGACCAATCGCGCTGGCTGTATAGGGAACGTAAATATGCTTCCGGCATCAAGGAAATAGAATATAGGCCTATACTGAGCATACGTTATACGTACTTTTACTGTCAAGGTGTACTATGTTGGAAAGGTCAGTACCAACTACGTATTAGCTATGTTACCGAGGTACCTGTATGTTTACCGATTGAAGAAAGCAAGAGGCTTGTCTAACAATGCCACATACAGGGTGTCTCATTCAAACCGAATAACTAATAGCCTTGATATCTCGATCTCTAGAAAAGCCGATCTCACTGTGCCCAACATGAGCTTGTCAGGAGTAATCATACCTTTGAAGACATCCATTTCGATGCTTGGTATTACTATCAGCAACAACCTTTCTCGGGAAAATCACGTGAGATCAATTGCTAAAAGTGCATCCCAAAAACGTGGTTTACTGTTTCGGGCCAAGAGCTATTTCACTTCCAGTCAGCTGCTTATGATCTATAAGGCACATATCCGACCTGTCCTGGAATACTGTTCTCATATTTATAGTGCAGCACCCAAACATACCCTGAAACTGTTGGATTCTGTCCAAAAAAGGGCAATTCGTCTCGTGGGTGATGCCTCGCTCACAAACTCACTCACTTCCCTGGAACACCGTAGAAAGGTTGGCGATCTGGCTGTATTTCATAGATATTTTCATGGACGATGCTCTTCTGAGATATCGACAATTGTTCCTCCCTTGGCAGTCCCCGCGAGATTAACCCGTCGAGTTGAGGCTTCGCACCCCTTCGTGGTCACTTTGGAGACCTGCAGCACATCTCTTCCCAAAGACTCCTTCATCCAACGAACAGCGAGGCTCTGGAACACATTGCCAAGGGAGGTGTTCCCGAGGCATATAACCTCCAGAAATTCAAGAAGAACACCAATTCCTACCTTATTTTCCTTGGTTCTCATGATGTTCTCTGAACATAACAGGATATCCCTTTTCGTGGTAACCAGAACATAAAAAAAAACCCTCCCACACACACGCGACTCAATGTGTAGTACTGAATTCGTGTTTTTCAGGCATGAAAGGCTCATTAGGAAACTGGTTCAAAGTAACAAAATCTAGTAATACCCGATGATGATGATATTCAATATACCTACCTAAGTATTATACCTACCTATATAGAGTAAACTTTAATCGTCCTCTATCCAATATAAGTAGGTACATGACTGATTGTTGTTAATAGACAGGTAGGTATGTTCATAATTGAGTAGGCGGATTACTCTTTTATATTCTTCGAAGAGATGGAAACTACTCTCAATAACCACAACTATCTAATGGAAACTCCATACCTACCTGATAATTATTTCTTACAGTTCGCAACCCATACCCAACACGTTACAGGACTAAATATTGTTGAAACAAATGACATAATGCGTTGGGTCAAAGCACCCGCGATCGAGTGCACAAGAAACGAGCGCGATTGATTTTTGAAAGCGAAAAGGGATGCATTATTTGCGTCACTAAACAAAAGCCGGCCAGTTTATGCACTGGCCCACTGCCTGAAATCAACCACAACGAGAATATCAACATGGCCAACTGCCTGATTGGTACGATAGTGATAGTAGTGTGAGTTAGTGTCAAAAAGGAGATTGTCATTGAAGAATATTCGAAATAAAATTGGCTTACCGTGCTGGGACGATCAAAATGCGTAGTTGAGCGGCGCAAACACGCAATAGAAAGTTATAAAACCAAGCTGAAATCGGATTTGGAGAGAAGAGACCGCTCGACTCGGTAGAATACCGAAGCAACGTTGCCAAACTCCCTAGTTTCGTGACATATTCAGGATATTCTTGCTGGACCTACATTCTACCAAAAACTAAGAGCATTATAAGATCAGACTCTCAAAATCATATTCAACGGCCCATAGCTAGACGAATAAGGATTGCAATGGTGTGACGTACCTACCAGTTTGAGGAAACTTGTTTTTACTACGTCATAGCGTCGATAAGCTGTCGATAAGCTGTTGACAGTCTAGTTACTAGGCTAATCTGGACCCTATATCTAACTTCAGGATAACATCAAACATACAAAATCTTAATTTTTATCTCAAAAAAGTCAGATGGTTTTTTTTATGTACTGGTTCCCACGAAAACGGATATCCTGTTATGTTCAGAGAACATCGTGAGAACCAAGGGAAATAAGGTAGAAATTGGTGTTCTCCTTAAATTCCTGGAGGTTATTTGCCTCAGGAAACACCTCCCTTGGCAATGTTTTGCAGAGCCTCGCTGTTCGTTGAATGAACAAGTCTTTGGAAAGAGATGTTCTGCAGGTCTCCAAAGTGACCACGAAGAATTGCAAAGCCCCAACTCGAAGGGTTAATCTTGCGGGGACTACCAAGAGAGAAACAATTGTTGATATTTCAGAAGAGCATCGTCCATGAAAATATCTATAAAATAGAGCCAGATCGCCAACCTTTCTACGGTGTTCCAGAGAAGTGAGTGAGTTTGTGAGCGAGGCATCACCCACGAGACGAATTGCCCTTTTTTGGACAGAATCCAACAGTTTCAGGGTATGTTTGGGAGCTGCACTCCAAATATGGAAACAGTATTCCAGGACAAGTCGGATCTGTGCCTTATAGATCATAAGCAGCTGACTGAAAGTGAAATAGCTCCTGGCCCGAAACAGAAAACCAAGTTTTTGGGATGCAGTTTTAGCAATTGATCTCACGTGATTTTCCCAAGAAAGGTTATTGCTCATAGTAATACCAAGCATCGAAATGGATGTCTTCAAAGGTATTGTTACTCCTGACAAGCTTATGTTGGGCACAGTGAGATCGGGTTTTCTAGAGAAAAGGCATGCTTGTGTTCTGTTTGCATCTTAATACCTCGATGAATTTTCGAATATTCTGGGACAAACGTTTTTTTCTTGGAGCTGATCAGAATCCTTTATAAACAACATGAAGGACCATTTCATAGGTTCAAATCCAAAACGACTGCAGAAATGTTTCTGATGGCCCAAGAATGTGTTTGGGATCACACGTTGAACGGTAAGGTCCCCGTCATTCCTTGCTCGCCAAAAGTTTTCTGAAGATTTCTATGGATTAATCGTAATGGGGTAACCGAATGACGAATAGACCAATTTTAGACAAATTCTTAGTGTGGAAGCCCTTATATTCAGGTCCGTTCAGTAAACACTCCATCTCTTTCCAGGGCTCGTCTGATCGAAGTATCGCATAACACGTAGGCCTATTGGCCATTTGTTTCTTATCTTGAATATCCCGTTATTGATTTTACCATATACGACCCATGATTCGAAGGGTTGGTCCAATCTTGTGGTACCCCCTGCACAGAGCTAAGGCGGTTTACCCTGTTTCCCAGAGAAACTTACGGTTGCCACTATTCCAATTTTTTATCACAAGGAAACCGTCTCAGATGAAAAGGATACTTTGTGATTTGTGGAATATTTCATTGAATGAAACAGTAGTAGTAGTAGTTGGTGAATATAGCTAGGGTTTTGAGTTGATGTGACAACGCTGTTAGCTAGCATTCGAAATGATTGGGTTAAGTTCGTTGGAACGAGTAATGCAACTGCATTAAAACATTGTATCTATATTATCAAACTATGGCAACATTGTGAACGCATATTGCGCAGTACTACTGCACAACATATTCAAAACTCTCTTACAATATTGCCGTTTCTCTGATTAGGAACTAGATCTGGTACTCTTGAGTACGTCTTTCAGATAATTATTACTGTATCTTCCGACTCTGTCACTATTTTTGTTGTCTCCCATCGCTGGGATTTTCAATTGAAATAACTAAGAAGCCGCAGACTTCCGCAGTCCTAATAAAATGGAACATAATAGCAGATATTGAGAAAAGTGAAAAGTAAAAAAAAATGCTCTGGAACGCGCCCAAATATCTATTATGGCATCTTCCACTTGGTTAATACTGTCTTTCACGAAATCTTCTAGGCTCAACACTCAACAGAAAAAAAGATAGCTCTTGGAAATCCAGTGACATCCATGCTTGCATTTTCGCTTGCGGCAACACTGTAGCGCCAGCAATTTACCTACTGAATGTGAATGAATAGGGAATCTGGTGATTGAATCTAGTATTCTCCTCGATTCTCCTTCTCCATCAAACTAATTGAAAATAAAAATATTGAATGATTATTTTAGGGTATTTTCGTTCCTGAAGATTCCATAACGGGGAGACTATTTTCAGATTGCTCACAGAACAATACAGGACTGCCATCTAGTGTTTTCAGTACGAAACCTCCTCTCACTAACAAATTTGTTATGGAAGCAAATTGTTATGATACAACGGTAGAAGATAGTCGATAAGTCCTATAGATGCCTATAGTCAAGACTAATCTAGTTGGATTGGATTTCGGGACGAGAATTTTATGTCGATAAGTCCTATAGATGCCTATAGTCAAGACTAATCTAGTTGGATTGGATTTCGGGACGAGAATTTTATCATCGTCAGTGATGGTCAACAACAACAACTTATCAATAAAATGATAATCTCACGATTGCGCATGCGGCCTGGTGTCTGATAATACCCAGAGAGTGCCTCTCAATTTTTTTTGTTTGCCAATTGCACAACCAAATAATATATATATGACATGTGGGCATTAGCAAATCAATAAAATAATTTCAAAACTCGTTAACTAGGTACTTGTGCTTGTCAGTCATTACGAATCGAGAAAAAAAACGTGGTGCATTGTAGACGGCGATCACATCATGCTAATATTCCATCAAATTATACTAAATAAAGAGTTGTCATGGCTTACTTACACAAACACTATGCTCCTGGATGACAGCCATCTCTTGAAACTCCATATCGACTGTCCTAGCAAATTTAAATTCGCCGAATTTCGGGATAAATCACACAGCACTTCGTACGAAAACACTACACCGTGTCTGTCTTATTTACAAACATTGCAAGGTCATCGATTATTTGCTTCCTTTCATACGTCACTCAGTCGATAAATTAAAAGGTACAAAAGGAGGACTGCCGGGACATCTGACGGTGAGAGTACGAAGTAATGTGGTCAAATTGGATTACAGGAAACTGATGTTCAGAGCCAGGTCTACCACTCTTATTTCTCAAGAATATCAAGACCACAAAGCTAGTGGGTACACTTCCCTCGTACAGGTACCTGCCTGGCTTGAAATTGGAAATTGTCTGATAAAATCTGCCGACTATCTGACTGAACCAATATGGATTTAGGGACGATTCTCACGAAGAAATTCTACGAAAAGTATGAATATAGATTCGGAATCCTCGAGAATTCTTTTGCAAAACTAATTCGTTATAGATGATGAAGAAATGCATGAGCACTTTTCGAAATTAGGTAGAATCAATTTCAATATTATTGTAATCCGTTGGATTATGGATATAGATTTGGAATCCTCGTGACATTTAACATGAAACTACATTGATGGTTTTTGATGAGAATTGAGCACTTCAAAATTCGAAAGATGAGCAGCACCAACTTTTGAACTGAGAAAAAAATAGTTATAGATTCGATATCCATTCAAATAAAAGAAAAGGTATAGTCATGTTGTAGAGAACCTCATTGATTCCAGATAATTGTTATGTCTTGTATTATGGTGATGATGATGAATATCATTTCTCCTGATGAAAGTAAGGTATAGACAGCTTCTTAGAATCAATGATTTGGTATATACATATAGAGACATACTTGGTACTTGTAAATAGCATTTAGGGGCATAATTTTATAATTTTTTATTGCTCTATTTTGAAGGATCTCAATTGTCTTATCACTTTTTGAAGGAAGGGTACCATAGTAGAGTGAGATATTGTATGTGACCATGTATCAATGAATAGTAAAATCCTCTTGAAAGATGTTTTCGTATGCAATTATTCAACTTCCATAATATACCTAGAAGCTGCAATCTCAAATCGCAGTCTGTCTAAATGGGTTTTCCAAGAGAAAGTTTGTATTACAAGTTTGTATTTTCATACTGCATGTTCACTTGGACATGTGTGATTTGTCTAGAGATTATTATTACATATTCAGATTTATTTACGTTTAGTGTATGAGTTTTTTGCATGTCTTCCACAATATTACGTTCCACAGTTCATCATAAGAGTTGCTAAAGTATATATAATATCATGGTATCATCTGCATATGATCTTGTTTCACCTTTCAGATTTAATTTTGATATTGAGTTGACATAAACAAGGAATGAGGTTGGACCTAAAATAGTTCCTTGGGGTACGCCACATTTGATTTCTCTTTCTGTACCTGAAAATCACCCCATTAAGACTGCTCTCTATCAGCTAAATAATTCTTGAACCAGACATGACAATTTCCTCTAACGCCCAAACATGAACTTCAAATTATCTATGTGAGAATGAACCACTTAATTTCTATTGGGAATGCACTGAAAGTACATCAGTCGGTCATCACTGGGCCAACAATGAATGGAAGTATACTGCTTCGTCAAATTTGGCGTCAAGTCAGCCAGTGGACAACTTTTGTAATTTATCATTGAAAAATGCCAATATTGAGTCAATGATAGTTCACTGGGTTGAGATTGCTCTGAGAACCAACTGACTGCACCTACGAAAAAAAAGACGAAAAGGACGAAAGGGAACGCTTCGTAATCAGAAATCGAAAGGACTAGACATCAGACTACTGAGATCAACATCCTTATTCGTCCCTTTCCATCATATTTCGGGAGTTTCGAACTGATGTTGTCATGACGACATATACAGCCATTGACGTACACGAATGAAAACCACGAGGGTACAAAACTTTCAGATACAAGAATTAATATTTTGGTCACATACGAGTTTCCATAGTATACAGGGTGTTTCATAATTGAATGCTGATCCTAAAGGGCGATATGGATGATTTTAAGAAAAATTCTTCATGTGAACATAGGTCCGTAACAGCTTCGTTTCTGAGATACAGGATGTTGAAATTCAACAAAAAAATCAGTTATTCCCCAATATCTCTGAAACCGCTCTGGCTTTTTTCTCCATTACAAATACCATCAAATACTTAAAAATAGTTACCATAAAATTATAAAAATATTGCTTAGATCTTTTGGTTACCACAATTGTGAAATTATGACTAAGAGTAAAAATCGAATAGGGACAAGCAAATGAATGCATTTTATTTGTTAACTCAAATACCGTTCGACGGACGAAAAAAAGACAAGAGACCATTTTCATGGGAAGATAGAGGATAATTACAAAAATGATATTTACTTGGAAAAAAGGCAGTGGCGTATCATTATTTTGATATGAAAAATATGACAGGGTATGTTAACAGGGACGCCACTGATGGAAATTAAGAAATCCTTTATTATGGAAAAAATGTATTCCTATTCATACTTGGCATGTACCGAAATTGAAGAAAAAAGCCAGAGCTGTTTCAGAGATATTGGGGAATAACTGATTTTTTTGTTAAATTTCAACATCCTGTATCTCAGAAACGAAGCTGTTACGGACCTATGTTCACATGAAGAATTTTTCTTAAAATCATCCAAGGATTATCGCCCTCTAGGATCAGCATTCAATTATGAAACACCCTGTATAAGACCCGAGCTAGCCTCCCAGACATGACTTCTCCAGACACCCTGTATTTACATGTTATCTTATGTGATACAACAAGTGTATTAATGATTATCGAAATACAAAATCGCTTCAATTCTGAAAACATCGATGAAAGTAATTTGGTGTTGTCTTATGGTTTATTATTGCATCATCCACTCTAACATGAAGATCATCATTTTTTTTATTGGTTCTGGAATAAAACTGCATCGGAACGGTTTTCTGTACATCCACCACTAAAAAATTTTTATCACACCAATTCTTAAATTCGAAGCTATCCAATTTTTATTGAAGTGCCTCTGGGTTATCTGCAATAGATGTAATCGTTGTATTATCTGCATACAAACCTAAATAATCTGCGCTTATATGAATGGGCATGTCATTGATGAATTGAAGTAAAATGAGTGGACCTAATATAGAACCTTGAGGAACCCCAAGATCAATATCATACTGCTTCGACTGACAATTGTCAACTTTAACGTGTATCTTTCTGTGAGTCAGGTAAGATCTGAGACAAGGATTGCCAGGTTTGAAATTATGTTATGCTGAAGAGGTAAGCAATTTACTCATGAGTTCATTAGGTTGATATTGAGAGTGTTCTTTGATACATTGAGTTCCTGAATATGAAAATTTGATGACATCTATGACATCCTCTACTGCTGGTAAGTTTCATTTTTTTATATTCGATCAAACTACTAGAATTAGGAAGCGAAATACAAAATCGAAAATACGGCATAATAAGATATTTCAACCAATCTGAAACGTGTATTTCGAAATCAGAGAACTAATCAGGTAGACAGCCTGTATTCTGGTGTGGGGGAAAAATAATTGTATAAACGAAGGAGAATGCCAATATATAAGAAGTGAGTATGCTTAGTCGGCTAAAAGGTCCCATTGATATTTCTTGTTATCATGATGGACAAATTGGAGAAAAACTGATACAGTTTATGAATAAAACCAATGATTTCTGAACAGGAAGATCGATGTTACATACGGAGGGAAGACATCTCATGTATATTCAGCAGGATTGGGTGTGCCTCAAGGATCAAATCTTGGGTAATATATACAATACGCACAGTGAAGAACTAATTTGTGGAATATTCGATATTGCGCTTAAAAAATTCAAATTGGAGCTAAAAAAGCTTATAAGCTCCTGATAGTCCTGTAACCTGAGTAGTTGGATCGGACGCACTATTCATCGATATTCCGTCCATTCAATGAATTGTAAAACTGCTCTTGTGTGAAGAACCCTCGATTGAATATATTATACATATATATTGTGTCCTAAGTTGTTTAGTTAATTGAAAATGTAGTTGGTATAGTTGATTTAATTATTGATTATGTCTATTAATTGCCATTATGATAGAATCTTTTTTTTTCGAATAATTTGTGAGAAACACATAATTAGGCATTGTCTGCCTTTCTGTTTCTGGAATAAATAAATGAATAAATAAATATTTAAGATGACAAGTGATCCCCTGACCCCTGCTATGACACGCCTATGTTAAATTCTATTCTCGGAGATAAAATCCTATAATACTGCATCCGATACACAGGAAACCTTCCTATGATCGGTTGCGGTAAAGCTCTGTTTTCCGTGGAAGGCATTTTCTGTCGCATTCCTGCAAATTTTCCTGCATTTCCACCTCGATTTCCACGCACGTTTTCCCTTTCTAAACGCGCGTGTCACGCACCGACAAAACAAAACACGGTATAGTGCATCTTCAAGTGACAAACAACTTGGGTGGCTCTGGATACAAGCATTCACTTGTTTCACGAGATCAGTGGATTGATTGTATAGGTTTGAAAATGGGATCGTGAGTAACAGGTAAGTATAATCAAAGTTTCTTATACTTCGGAATAAAAACATATACAGGGTGTTGTAAAATTCGACCGACAACGTTTGACAGGTGATAGCCCTCGTGATTTCATAATCACTGAGATAGGGACATACGGTTTGAAATTTGACCCAAAATATAAGTTTGCATAGAAATTTTTGATCTTCCTCAGTAGTAGAAGGTTACAGAAATTTGTGTTTTCTCTTTGGGCGTGGAATAACTATTTATGTTCAGCTACAGAAAAAGATCTGAATAGTATCTAATCTACTCAACACCAGAAAAATATTTTTGCAATTTTCTACTACTGAAAATGATGAAATATTACTATGCAATCTTCTATTTTGGGTCGAATATCTCGAAAACTGTTCATTTCAGCTCAGTTGAAGGTGTTGAATTTTTTGAACAAAATTGAACAATGAATTCGTGGAATTGGAAAATAATGGAACTTTAATCAGTGGCGTAGAAAATATGGGAGAATAAGTTGCCACAACCCCCTGTAGGGCACCACTGGATGAAATATCCGGAATGGCTTCCTGGTCAAAAAATGACCCATTCAATGATAAAACTATATACCGAAGTTGAATGCATTATATTCAAGTTTTCTTGAGATATTGCGAAACAACTATTTTTATTTCTCAACTTTAACGCCTTGTATCTCGAGAAATGAACACTTGAAGATCGTATGTCCTTATCTCAGTGATTATGAAATCACGAGGGCTACCACCTGTCAAACGTTGTCGGTCGAATTTCGCAACACCCTGTATAATGGATCTGTCACTATTTAGGCGTATATAAAATAAATGTGATATAAAAAATATTATTCTGGTAGCATCAGGGCACTACAGTTTTTATTTTGGATGGTTTATCAATCGGAAAAACTAACTAGCTTAAACAGAGTGTTGGAATTTGTTTTGGAAATAACCCATGAAAGGATATTTCTGGAATTAGTTTCAGATTGAACTCTATACCTTTTCAAGTTCAAATTGATACTTATCAATCTCAAATTATTATAATTATTGGAAAACAGATTCAAAATGAGAATAAGCAGAATCAAATTGGGATCAATCATATTCAAACTCAGAATAAACATTTTTCAATTGGGAATTAACATATTCAAGTTGATTAACACAGTCAAAATTAGAATGAACTCATTCAATTTGGGACCAAGCAACTTCAAATTGTCATTACAGTTATTTGTAATTAAAATCATTTTCGGAATTTTGTGTTTGGTATCATTAACATATTCGCTACCGAATCAATCAATTCCATATTGTATAGGTATATAAAGGTTCCGATTTGAAATTGATTGGTTTCAATTTGAAATTGTTTAGTGTGAATTTGGATTTGTTTATTCCGTGCCTAGTCATTTTGATCCAATTTGAATTAGATTTTTTCCATTTTGAGAGTGATTAGTTCCAATTTGAATTTGTTTATCATCAATTTGAATGTGTTAAATCCATGCTGAATCATTTCGTCCCGATTTGACGGTAATTATTCCATTTTGAAAATGATTAGTCTCAATTTGAGGTTGAAAAGGTATAGAATTTCTATAAGAGAATTGAGATTGTGAAATCGCTATACTGATGAAGAGAACAACTTGATTTTTCTCTAGGTATTCAGTATACTTTATCAAAATATCTCAACTTTCATTGATAGGTTATCCATGAGTAAATTCCATCACACTGTATCTCATGTATCCATTCAAAAAATCGTTTGATCAGTCTCCCAAAAGTTTTCCATTGGTGAACTCAACATTAAATAACACCCTGTGACACATATTGAAAATGATTTCCAATGAGGTAGATTTAGTTTTCGAGAATCTGAAACTCAAAATTCGATACTCATGTGAAATAATTAGAAATTGTTTGATCTCTAGATTGCCCTCATTCTTAAACATTCGGGTGGACAGTTGTGAGTTGGGACACTCTGTATTTGTAGTGGCCATGGTTAGTGAGCTAGTGAGCAGACTAAATTGCCTGAATATTTCTTAATTGAAGGTAGGTGTCGATTAATTGATCATTTCAGCCACCTAAATAAAGAATTGGCATGTTTCTGACCTCAAAAACTACTTCAACTCAACTCAACTCAATGTTTTCCAGAAATACAGAGATCTGTGTCTCAAGTACAGCGCATAGTTCCACTATTTGTAATCTCGTTTTATTTCTGTCAGTTCGACTATTAATATCTACTTTGAACACAAATCTGAACCCAAACAGTTAGTCACAGTGAAGAATCTGAGTGAACTTGCCTGATCTATCCAAATTACAGAATCTTTATCAAAAAAGTATTTCAAAGAAGGTCGGAAGATCAAGATGAATAACAAAATAATCATACCTCAACTTCACTGTAGGTAAGAATTTTTGTTTTTGTCAGATATACTTTTATCAATCTCGATATATGAATACTTGTAAATATGTTGAACGTTCTCAATATAAACTGGTCAACATTGAAAACGTCGTGGTCCAAAATATAGCCTGAATTCAGAATAGAATAACGAATACTCACGAATTCCCTTACCATTTTGAAATCGGTTTTCACCGATGATTAGCCTAGTCTCTTGACAGTTTGTTGTGTCAATATGAAACTTCTGTGATTTCAGATAACATTGCTACAGGGTGATAATTGAATGGTTGTAAAATTGCACCGTGGTCGTCACCTTACCGTTTGAACAGATTTTTTTTTATCACCTGTATCCTCTTGAAACATTTTCGGAATTTTCAAATTCAGAGCTTTGATAATCGTGTTATGAATATTCATTCAAAATGATGCATTTTTTCGACGATTAATTGAATGAAATTGGAAGTTGGAATTATTCAAGAAATACTGAATGATGGAATGGAGAATAACGTAGTCTTCAGTAGATGAAACATAATTTTCTCTGTGTTACTAGTGAAATAATGGAGTGTTACTTCGTTATGAGGATGTCTGGTGTCTGACTCGAAATGGTTTTGTAATTTCTCGGATCGAAGGTTATATACTGAAGGTACGTTAGGTACGCATTTTTAATCCAAATGATGCAATTTCGTTAAGATAAATTATAAAATTCAAAAAATTACGATTTTAGTTCCAGATGTATTAAATTTATATTTATTCTTGACGATGGATATACAAGGTGCGATTGTCAAAAATTGTGAAATGTATAAGTACAGTAACTTCTCATGAGTCTTATACGAGGTAATATGAAAGAGAATACAAGTGGGGTAAAGTGACGACCACGATGCAATTGAAACCCATTCAATTATCACCCTGTAGCAATGTTGACCAGTATTTCTTATTCACGTACTCACTCTGTTGCAATTTTCAAAATTATAGATATTTCAAATATTGGGAAAGTTCAAATATTAGTCGATAGCTGGTTCAGCATATTTTCGATTTCGTTTTTATCTATTGTTCCATTTTTTTAAATTTAGCTGCAGTTGAAAATGAGTGGAGAGAATGTAGTTTCCAGTGAGGAACCAGCTAGTACACCTTCTACACCTGGTTCTTCTGTGGATGAAGAAAAGTACCTAGTGCCTTATCGAATAAGGCCCAGAGTCAAGAAGAAATGGCTCAGGATAGAAAATGTCCCCATCGCTACCATAGCAGTCACCATCATACAAGTAAGCTGTAATTAGCGTCTATTTTTATTTCCAGATAATTCACATTACTCAATGCTTCCAGGTATACATGCAATCTAAATATTTACCAAACGAGAAAATTCTTTGATGATAGTTTATGAAATATTACTCTTGATAACTTTGTATATAAACACTGATTGAAAATTGCAAACAATTGATTGATATATCACAGATTCTCGTGTGGCATATAGCCAGGAAAGTAGTTGTTTTCTGTTGAATAAACCGAGAAAGAATGAATTCTTAATGAATTTCTTCATATATATACATTTTTCCATGTTCATAATTGTATTTGAGAATATTCCTTTTCAATATATATTTTTCATTTCAAGTGTTATGTTTTGTACGTGAAAACTCTTGACTTGATCTTACATCAACTTAGCCTTTCCTCAGAACTTTGCCAATGATATTATACCTTCTGACATGGAAGCATATTTCGATTGATTAATTGATTGAATATTTCAGATTGCTTTCCACATTTTTTCGACTCCCAGCGTAGAAAAACACCTGAGATTCGAACCGAGCAAACGGACACAAATATGGAGATTCCTCACCTACATGCTAGTCCATGACGACTGGTACCACCTGCTCCTGAACGTCGTCATCCAGTGTATATTCGCTATACTGCTCGAAAAAAGACAGGGGCGTTTCAGAGTGCTCGTCCTCTATTTCCTGGGGGGTGTGACTGGGGTTATGGGGGCCTCTTGTGTTCACCCCAACATGGTCATAGGGGCTTCAGCAGGGGTGTACGCTCTTTTGATTTCGAATATCGCCGATATTGTACTGGTGAGTACTCAGGGGAAGTGAACAATGTGAACTGAGCTTCCTAGAGGTGATAGTATGTACAGGGTGATTGACTATGGATTTCTCGACTTCAACAGCTGATATCTCGAAAACGAAAAAAGATATTTGAAATTTGGAGGAAGGTACTTGAATGAGATGTCATTTCCTTTCAGAAAATGTATTCTCTGCTTGATTTTATCATTTCATATACAGGGTTCGTGAAAAAAATTTTTTTTTTCAAATTGAACCCCCTGTATATTATCGCATATTTTGAAAGAGCTATCTTTCCTGATTTCAAAGATATATACTTTTCATATATTCTATCGAGGGCTTGACGAAATATCAGCAAAATTTGGTCCAAGTTAGCTATGGTTGAAATAGAATGAGATGATGAATAAGTGAATTGACATTTGGCCAACATTCCAGTGACATAAGTGCGCAAAATTTTGACAATTTTCTCACGATGCCATATCCACTGGAACAAAGAAGAGATCTTTTGGAGTGCTATTTTTCAGTTAATAAAAATCTTGCTGAAACACTTACATTTATACTTGTATTTAATCTTTCAGATATGACAAGACAAAATTCAATCCGCTTCTCATTATCATCATAACTGAGTTTGTGGCATGGTCTAATTCTGAAATCCCTATATTTATATTTCCTTAAGGTATGTTGAACAAAATAATAGCTGAAACCAAACTCTCTCACTGCATTTCTTATTGACCGTGAAAGATCCTCAACAAAATACTGGATTACAAGAAGTTCCTCGTCTTCGTTGTCTTGCCTTCAAACCATTCTCTTGATATTCGACAAACTGGAAGTTCTGTCAAATTTAGCAGCCAAATACTTTACATAATTCTTACTTGGTAATCTCCTGCCTGGATAACTCCTCATAAACTTATGAAGTGTTTCAGCAAGATTTTTATTAACTGAAAAATAGCACTCCAAAATATCTCTTCTTTGTTTCAGTGGATATGGCATCGTGAAAAAATTATCGAAATTTTGCGTACTTATGTCACTGAAATGTTGACCAAATGTCAATTCACTTATTCATCATCTCATTCTAATTCAACCATAGCTAACTTGGACCAAATATTAATATTTAATTTTGCTGATATTTCGTCCAGCACTCGATAGAATATATGAAAAGTATATATCTTTGAAATCAGGAAAGATAGCTCTTTCGAAATATGCGATAATATACAGGGGGTTCCATTTGAAAAAAAAAAAATTCCACAAACCCTGTATATGAAATGATAAAATCAAGCAGAGAACACATTTTCCAGAAGGAAATGACATCTCATTCAAGTAACTTTTTCCAAATTTCAAATATCTTATTTCGTTTTCGAGATATCAGCTGTTGAAGTCGAGAAATCCATAGTCAATCACCCTGTACATTGAGAAATAAGTACAGTTTGATTGATAAACTGATGGGGTGGCGGAAATTTGATCGAAAGACAAATAATAGAAAAACATTAATTTGATAGAAGTCTTTTGATCGAAAATCAAAAAATAGAAAGAACTGTTCACCGAAAATACATTTGATCGAATGTTTTATGATAGAAAATACATTTGATAGAAACATAAATGATAGAAAATACAATTGATAAAAAAAATATTTGATAGAAACAGCATTTGGTAGAAGATTCAACGGGGCTACGCTCAAGTTAGGTCAGTTCATTTGTGAAGATATGATCCATCAGGGTATAGTTCTCATTAGTCTTTCAATAGATATCACATTTTCCATCATATATTATTCCAGCAATTCATAATAAATAATATGATGTATATAAAAATACACCGCTAGAGACAGATATAATGGAAGAAGCTGCGAAAGTTGGATTCGTTTCCGGGAATTTCAAGAAAAAAGTATGAATTGGCATAAAAGAAAAATTTATGGAATCTAAAACAATACAGAAATAAAATCTTTTTCGGAAAGTGTACTTTTTGAAATACTTTGAGGAACTAGGAAAGGCGTCTACTCTTTGGTCACAATATTCAATGTAGCATAGTGCCACATTATAAAATAAATACCATCATGCTACATTACTCGAATTCTTTGAATAAGTGCAGTTGTAGAAAAAGTATGGTGTGCAACATGTGGGGAAAGGCACTTTTCTCACTCATGTGTTTGTATCACTCGCCCTTCAGGCTCGTGCCACAAACATTCTCACTCGTGAGAAACGTTGAACTTTCTCCACTTATTGCACAATATACTATTTCTTGAAATTTTCGAAAACTTGCCTCAGCAATGAATTAGTTTACCTTTTTGGAGGCAGAGTGACTAAATCTCCGATATTTTTATTGAATCTTATTGTTTTCTTTGTTTTTTTTTCAGAATAGTACGGCTGTAAGATTCAAAATCTACAGGGTATGCTCTATAGGTGTTCTGGTGCTTTTCGATGTCATTTACAACATAGTCCACATTTACGCAAGAAAAGAACCTGTCATATCTTGGGAAGCCCACGTAGTCGGTGGAATCTCAGGTCTCCTCATTGGTTTCTTGATTTTCAAGAGCGATTGTCAGACTGAAAAGCTCTCAGAGAGAAAAACAATTTTCAATGCTATATTTTGGACTAGCTTGGTGCTTTACTGTACTATGTTGATCGGATTGGTGTTAGTCAGTGTTCAAATCAAAAAATGTACTCCTGCCAGTGATATTTACGTGAAGTATGTTTATTTTTGTTGAAGCAATGATTTTTCACGTTCTGTTCGATTCGCTCAAATTAATTTGCTTTTATGGTACTACTCCCAGCGAGCACAAAAACATCTCAGAGGTGTTAAAAGTACGAGATTTCGAGACATTGAACCTCCACTGCGATGTTCTTTTCACACATGAATAGAACTATTATAGAACAGCCAATGTCCGCCGCAGGCGGCAATTATCGAGATGTCCTTGATATGTCACAAAACTACCTTCTTCCTAGTTCTTTTTGAAGCCTTTTCATGGACACAAAAAAACATTTTCAACGCGTCTTGCGCACATTAAATCGCTGTAAAAAAAAACATTTTCGAGGTACTCTTCTGAAGCCTTTTGTCAAAATGAACTTTTGCATTAGGATTCCATTTCCCTTGAATGAAAAAATGCATTAAAAATAGATTGAACATTAAAATATTTTCTTGATATGAAATTACCTTCTTAATCGGTTTCTGAGTAGTGCTTACTACACACAGACATATAATTTGGAATAGGTTTCCCAATTTTTGAAATGTTCTCCACAATGCATAATTTTGCAACTGCGGAGAAGCTGTGTATTGATAATTTCGTACTTTTATATATTGATTACACTGAGGCACCGAACAACACATCTTGCATCTGATGGTCATTTTTATAAACTAAATAAGTCTTCTAACACAATATACTTCACCAAATTCCTTTCTGTTCGTTAGCAGCGTGATGTGAGCGTGACACGCTGCAAACGCGAAGGCCAATTGCGAACAAGAAGATTAAAATCGAAAACAAATCAGAATTCATCGTATTGTGACGTAAGCATGAGACGTTGTGGTGGGGCAAACAAAGAAATGCCACATAAGAACAAAAACAATACTTCAATATCCTTCAAAGACTTCTTTGGTCAGTGCATATTACGTCTCAAAATAACATCTTCATGCCAACATTTTCAAAACATCCCAAAACATCCCAGGGATGTTTGTGCTCGCTGGGCTATTTTTGGTTCCAGTATATTCCTACTACATAATATTATGAATATTGTTACTCTGGAATTATATATTCCTTGCATGATCTGAAAAACTTATGTAAAAGATATGAAAATTACCTGAAAATCGACACTGACGACAAATTTTAATATTGTTTTGGACTAGAATTGTTCAACTCAATGTGAGATAGTGAAAGATTTTTTCAACTAATTATATCCATTGTTGCCATTTCCTAATTCTTATGTTACTTTTATAACCCGAATAAATTTTTTATACATACATTCGTTTGAATTTGGTTAGGATCCAAACGAATATGACAGTGAATACATACATTATTCCAGATTTTTTGGGATAAAATAAAAATATGAATAATATTTCAATATACGTGTAGTAAGGACAAATCAGATGATTTGCCCCAAAATGTCACTTCTTTTAAAGAATTTTCCTATCAGAGAGCCTAAAAGAAAAATTCACAAGCTGTCAGTGACAATTCGTATTGAAAAAGGTTTGGAGAAGAGGAATAAAGGTATATAGAAAAAATATCAAATTTTCACTTAGCTTTGGATGTTCCGGGAACGAATCTGCTCCCGTTCTCAACATAAACATGCAAAATATTTTTCTTTGTTGAGAACGGGAGCAGATTCGTTCCCGAAAGGTCCTAAGCTAAGTGAAAAAAAATGATATTTTTTCTACATACCTCTATTTATCTTTTCCAAACCTTTTTCAATACAAATTGTGACTGACAAGCTAGTGAATTCAACTTTTAGGCTCTCTGATAGGAAAATTTTTTAAACGCAGTGACATTTTGGGGCAAATCATCTGATTTGTTCGTACTCGAAATAATATTCATATTTTTATTTTATAAATCAACCTACAGACAGTATTTAGTAAATACATATATCCTTCATTAGCTCAAACGTGGTATTTATACAGGGTGGCATTGAAATAAGTGCCAATATTTCAAACACTGAGAAAGCTCGATGTGTACTATCGAATGGCACTAATAAAAAAAAATAGGGGTCTAAATAAAATTTGAGGTTAGATAAATAATAAAATAGGCGCCAGTCACAACTTTCATCAAAAACATTATATAATACTGAACTATGAGTATAATACTATTTTTTTGTGGTAATATTTGATATAGTATAGTATTATATATTATATAATGTTGTAGTGGTACCATTTGATGAAAGTTGTGACTGACGCCTACTTTACTAAACGTTTGGTGATAACTAGCATCTTTTTCTTTCAGTGTTCAATCATTTGAATTGTTTCAATTTCTGTGATAAAATTTCTCGTTAATTAAAAGAATCAGAAGAAATCTCATATCATGGGAATATTCCTTAGACTGTATCATACTAATGTGCTGAATATTTGCACTAATTTCAAAAACACCTTGTATAAGTAGACGATTCGGATTATTTCTAATTTCAACGCACTATATCTCGAAAACGAATCGTGTTATGACCAATGTTTATGGGAACTTTTCATCTTATTTTTTCAGATACCTACTATCTGAATCCAACAGATTTCCCAAATATTTCCCGGTGTCCCTGCATAAAAGATTAAACAATTAATAGTAGAGATCCTACAATCAGATATTATAATATGAAAAAAACATACTGATTTTCATTTTGTTTCGTTTTTTCAATAAATGGTATTAGTCGGACTGATTGTGGTAATACACTTTCATGTATCTAAGATTCCAAGTATATACACACTGAACAACGCGTAACTTTTGATCAACATGTATATTAGTCGAAATTACACGAAAAGAATTTGAAGAATGGATTCTGAGTTCGAGAGGAACACAGCCAAAGGAAGAAAGAGAATATTTCATATATTTAGATGTTGAAACAGACGTGGTTTGAAAGTTATTTGAAAATTTATTGGAATATTTTAAGTAAATTTGATCAATTGAATAAATAGGAAATTTAACAATTGTTATTAACTGCGATTTGTTTAATGATAGGTATTCAATTCAGCTTCAAAGTTGTCATTGTTTAAGGGTATTGTAAAAAGTCTATGAAAAAGTGCATGGGAAGCTGAAAATTTCTAGCTGTAAGGGTGGAACGAATTGAAAGGTACCTGTTGGTTTTCTATAAATTGAAAAGCTGAAACGATTTGTTTTGTGAGTCAAAATATCAAGAGGAGGTAACTGATTATTAGATTCAATGTCCATTGTGATTTTTATTCTTAGATTAATATAGATTTCGAAAAGGAAAGAAACTCTCTATTTCAAGTATAGGGAACCTTCAAAGAGAGCAAGAATATCATCAACATATCGGTGCAAACAAAATTATTTTATTAAAGTTAGGGTGCTGAGAAATGGACAATTCGAAATAAGACATAACTGTTTCAGCTAAAGAAGGACCCATGGCAAAACCTGATTTTTTTGTGTGGAAAAGTCAGAATTATTGAAAAGTAATTATTGTTGGACAAGAGAAAACAATCATGATGTTCAATGCTGGGAAATAAATCAGGAACTTCAAATGAGACTAAAATGGAATCAGAAGTGATAGGAATATTTGAAATTTTCTTTGTCAAATACAGTGAATTTTTAACAGAATGGAAGTTAAAAAAATTCATGATCTCAGAAAGAATATTGAGCTCAGCCAGGAAGCTCATTCAGTAGCAGAAGAATTATTGTAAGAGACTACTGGTCTGATGGGGATGTTCTGTTAGTGAATTTTTGGAAGGACTACAATCTAGGAGTTGCAGGGTTCATAGTAGAAAGGTATATTTTTTTTATTTCAAAAAAGTGATGGTGCCGTTCAGATCATTGAAAGTTTTTCTTTAAGTAGCTTGAATTTTAACAGTAGGGTTCAATCTGAATCGAGAGAAATCATCATTGAAAAAAAAGTTCAACTTTAAAAAAAGTAGCTGATAATCACTTGATTATTTCTAAAGCTGACAAAGGAAATTGTTTACTCATTTTGTATAAAACCGATTATATTGTCTAAGTTGAATGAATTACTACGAAATTGATATTTAATAGGAATGTTATCTTATAGATATGACATATACTTCACTATCACCAATGGAAATCAATTCAGCACTCGAAATCAACAGCAGGAATGGTGAAAATTCCTAAATGTAATTTACTAGCTGGTCATAGTATCAAATACTCCCTCTGTGGTGTTTTGCTGAAGATATCAGTGGTAAATTTTACCACGATGCTGTGTTTATTGTTTTCAACTGTTAGCATTTAGATTCACCACGATGCCTAATAACAGACGATGAGGTTGGGTTAACGAATTCATAGAGGAATAGTTTGTCACTATTCTTAACGTTTTTCGTTGTACGATATACATCGATTATAATCATTTGTACCATTCTTTTTTGTTTGTGCGTGTACTACCTACTGCCCAATGATATCTTATCATTATATGAATCATCTAAATAAAAAAAGCTACTGATTTCCTATTAGAATGAGTATATAAACTTCAATATTTTCATAGCACATTCACAAATGTTCAAATATCGATAATAGTTGGGATTTCACTAGGATATCCCAAGTTCTCTTTATATTACTTTCCAGTTCATTTATTTGAAAAAATCAGGCTTCAATTTTCACCGAACGCCGAACTCAATAATCATTCGAAGGCAGATATAAATACACAATCCTCAATCCGTAAGTATGCATCAATGATAAATGATAATGAGTCATCTGACACCCTAACTTGTTTAGTTTTAGGCGTATTCATGCATCATTCATTATAATTACTATTTTTCACTATAACATTTACATTTTCACTAGCCGTGAGGTACCCGTTCATGATGCAGCTAAAGCACCTCAATGAACTAATTATTCGAGATTATGTGATTTGCTTGGATTCTAAAGTAAAATTAATGATAAACATGATTTTTCAATTTTCCATGAACATTCCCACACTGATATCACTATTCATAATGATTCAACACACCATCATCAGCATAAGATTGCAGCATATGATACACAGGCTAGTGAGTGTCCCTCTTTCAGAAGTAAATTTCAATAATGAACTCATCAATATCATAAAACAGATTGCAGTCAACAGCGGATACAACGTTAATTTGATAGACAGTATTCTTTTTAAAAAACTCCATAATGAAGCTATTCAAGAAGTTCATCCTACCATCAAAAATAATAATCAAAATTATAGAAATTCAACCTATGCTTATAGAACAATTAACACGTTGGGAAGGTTCATCAAAGATAATAATGACAAAACTTTTAAATTCGAAAAATCAGCAGTATACAAACTCAACTGTGGTTCTTGTCCTAAGGTATATATCGGTCAGACAGGTCGTATGTTTGATCAGCGCATTCATAAACATGAGATGAATTTTGTGAAAAAAACAAAAAAATCAACATACGCCAACCAAATATAAGAAGGAAACCATAGTTTTGATGATATTTTCGAAATTCTACACTTATAAAATAAAGGAATAAAACTCAATAACTTTGAATCAATAGAAATCAATGAACTGAAAAATTCTACAGACCTCAATAGACCTCAATAGTTCACCTCTGTTGAATTTGTTTTCTCAGTAGGTTTACTATCAACCCTTTCAAGTTGATTCGTTATACTGTATTATAATATAGATATTGTTCCTTTTTTCCGAAAATTAAGGTTTATCGAAACTTTCTACAGGTAATCCTAATCCTTCCGGTTGGGAAAGTAGGATATACATATATGTATAAGTTATAGGCATGTCACGGTTTGTTTATTTTATTGTACCAGTTTTACACCTGATAAAGCTACTGTGTTAGCGAAACATGTTTTTTTATGCTCTGGTTCCCACGAAAAAGGATATCCTGTAATGTTCAGAGAACATCGTGAGAACCAAGGGAAAGGAATTGGTGTTCTTCTTAAATTTCTGGAGGTTATATGCCTCGGAGAACACCTCCCTTGGCAATGTGTTCCAGAGCCTCGCTGTTCGTTGGATGAACGACTCTTCGGAAAGAGATGTTCTGCAGGTCTCCAAAGTGACCACGAAGGGGTGCGAAGCCTCAACTCGACGGGTTAATCTCGCGGGGACTGCCAAGGGAGGAACAATTGTTGATATTTCAGGAGAGCATCGTCCACGAAAATATCTATAAAATAGAATCAGATCGTCAACTCTTTTACTGTGTTCCAGAGTTTCAGGGTATATTTGGGTGTTGCACTCCAAATATGGAGCTTCTGGCCCGAAACAGGAAACCACGTTTTTGGGACGCACTTTTAGCAAATGATCTCACGTGATTTTCCCAAGAAAGGTAATTGTTGATAAGTAATAGCAAGCATCGAAATGGATGTCTTCAAAGGTATGGTTACTCCTGACAAGCTTATGTTGGGCACAGTGAGATCGGCTTTCCTAGAGGAAAGGCATGCTTGTGTTTTGTTTGCATTGAAATCTACCAAGTTATTGGATCCCCATTCGAGAATTGTTGCCAAGTCCACATTTCTCCCTGGTTCGTTTCTGATTTGCCTGGCTCGTATTGGAAACCTGGAAGAGAAGGCGGTATGGAGGGTGCTATCATCCGCAAAACTGTGTACTGAACATGAAGTTGCTTCCAACAAATCGTTGATATGGGGTAGAGAAATAGTTGTTGCGCAAAAATGTTGGCTTTCTCCTGCGCAGTTGTGGCTAGTGTTCCATCTTCCTTGGTTAGAGGAGGAAACGAGCTGGTGATTAAGACATTTGTGGAAATCTCATCGTGAAATTTTTACATTTGCTATGAATTTCAATCAAGTAACGGCCGAGTCAATTCAAAAAAATCATATCATCCTCACCGGGAGATTTTCCATCTTTGCAACTGGCTAGACATATTTGAATTTCTTCGAGGGTTATGAAAAAATTTAAGTAAGGATTTTGGGCATCAAATGGTCATATCCGATGAAACTTTCGGAATAGAAATGAGATCATTGTGATTTTCCCATTCGAGTATAGAAATTTGGCATACTATTGCCCCGATGTCCAACGATTCGAGCGTTTTCTAGAATTCAGACTGGTTTCCTGTATTACAATAGCTCCTTGCAATGTTTTTTAGAGTAGATTCATTCAGAGTCATACCAAGATGACGACTGGGCACCAATCCTATGATGGTCAGCAAGACGATGGTCATCTTAGTCTCATTGGAAGTGATGTCAAAAACTCCAACGACAAGAATAAAAAATGTCCCATGATATCATTTTTCATGAGAGGATATATCCCTATCGCTATCATGGCAGTCAGCATCATACAAGTAAGTTTTATCTTCAGAATATTGACAATATAGTGGCGAACGTATTATTTTAGTATCAAAACGTATTAAAAATGAGTTAAGGAACACAATGGACCAAGAACGTCTCAATCATCTCGCACTTTGGTACATATATAGGGCATGATTTGCTCGAAGAAGTCGATTATGAAAGTGTTATCTCTTAATATGCCCATATTGGTATATCCAGAGAAGTTTATTTGAAATAGTTTCGCTTCATTTCATTCAATACGCTAAACTTGATAACCTATAAAGCAAACCAAGGGCCTCTTGATTGAATTTGCTACAGGTCCCGCGCTGGCTTAACCCGGCAGTGATTTCAAGTTAGTTACACTAATTATTGTTTGAGTGAAGATGAATCTTATTGTGAAAAAAATGAATTCTCCAACATTGACGCGTCACTCAGAGTGAGATAGTTTCACTTCCAAAATCGATCATCGTCTGTCTAACAGTGGACGTGAATAAACCAATCCCAATGGTACCTATTAATTTTCATTACAGATTTGTTTCCACATACTTTTGACACAGCTTCCGACCCTAAGCTTAGAAAATTACTTGAAATTCCAACCGGGAGAGTTGATAGAATTATGGAGATTAGTTACCTACATGCTGCTTCATGACGGCTGGACCAACCTGATCCTAAACGTCGTGTTCCAGTGTAGATTCGCAATACTGCTCGAAAAAAGACAGGGTTGTTTGAAAGTGCTTGGCCTCTATTTGATTGGAGGTGTAGCTGGAGCCATGGGGTCCTTCTGTTTCTACGATGAGGATGTCGTCGGAGCATCAGCAGGGGTGATGGCTCTTGTGTTTTCGACTATTCCAGATATTGTTAAGGTGAGTATACAGGGTGAGTCATGAGGAACTCCCAAGTAACATTTTAAATGCCTAATAGCTTCGATGATACTTTAAAGAGGTTATGTGAGCGCAAATGATAGGTCTAATTCGTTCTACCGTTTTATGAATGCCCTGGAGAAAGCATATTGGCCTTCAGGTCCATATACTCCTTTGAGATACTATGAGAGAACTATCGCATAAAACAATTTGGCATTCTGCTCACTTCGGTTTAAAGAGAGCTCTGTGAGAGTCATTGAAATTCTTCATCGAAACTATTTACTCTTAACAACCCTCTTAAAACACTTAAGTTTCATTAGTGTCTCGAATTTGACTAAGAGGTTTTGAACTAATCCTTTGAAAATACGTCATAAAGCAATAATGAAACCAAATTTACGCTAGGCCAATTAGGATTTGACTGAGGCAGTAATGAAACCTAATTGCATTATTCTAGCTATGTGAAAGTAATTATTGAAACCTATAAGCCACAATGAATTCATCGAAGTCAATTATAAGATCTATAGGATTTATGAAGTTTTATTCAGAACCGAGTTAAACCCAAAAACCATAATATAAATGTTCGTTTTTTTTGCCTACAAACGACTAACGTTGGGATGAACTCAAAAGAAAATAAATAATGTGAAATCAAGAGAAATGGCAACTACAAGCGAAAAAATAAAGAAAATCAGAGCAACAGTGAATCAGAATTCTCAAGCCCAAGCAATATCAAACACTGCGTATCTCAATTCCTCCCACCTGAAACCACTAAATAGCAAGAATTCATTAGGACCTGATGTTCATGAAGTACCATCAACGAGTCAGAACCTAATGGAGAATACTTCTGACAACATCAGTTTTGCACAAATTACGTCAGATGGCGAGTTCAGCATGAATTTGAGAGAATGGAGCATTCAACACAATATCAGGCAAACTGCACTGAGTGTAGTTTGTCTATGTTTATGTTTCCTATTCGGTTTCCTACTTAAAACCAATCACAAAATTCACAAAGAGAACAGTGTGAATAACAAAAGTAGGGTTATGTTAATCATGTTGATATGGCGTTCTTCTACTTTTTGCAACACTACCAATGAGCACTAGCCAGGATATTCTCAAAGCTTCATAGTAAATACTAATACCTGAGAAGATGATGTTTTTTTTTTTTTTTTTTTTTTTTTTATCGCTTGGAGCGCACGAGAGGGAATCCCTATAATGTTCAAAGAACATCGTGCGTTCCTAGGGAGGATAGGGACAGGAGGTAGGTATTGGAATTTTTTTTGAACTTTTGGAGATTATATGTTGTTGGGAACACTTCCACAGGCAATGAATTCCAGAGCCTAGCCGTTCTATGGATGAAGGAGTCTTGATAAAGTGCTGTTCGACATCTTTCGAGGTTGACAACGAAAGGATGTGCTGACTGGGCTTGTCTAGTTCGTCTGATTGGTATTGCTAGTGAAGGGATGATAGCAGAGATTTCCGAAGAACATTTCCCGTGGAAGTATCGATAGAAAAGTGAAAGGTCGCCGACCTTTCTACGGTGTTCTAATGATGTCAAAGAGTGAGTGAGTGTGGCGTCACCCACCAAGCGAATGGCTCTTCTCTGGATGGAATCTAAGAGCATCAGCGTATGTTTTGGTGCTGAACCCCATATGTGGGAACAGTATTCTAGAACAGGCCGTATCTGCGCTTTGTAGATCATGAGAAGCTGTTGAGGTGTAAAGTAGCTTTTCGCACGGAACAAGAATCCGAGTTTTTGGGAAGCAGCTTTTGCGATGGATCTGACATGATTATCCCATGAAAGAGTGTTGCTGATGGAAATACCGAGCATAGATATAGTGGGCTTGGTGGGGATGGTGGAGCCAGACATTACAATATCGGGCATACTGAGTTCCGCCTTTCTAGAGAAAGTGCAGGCTTGAGTTTTGGTGGCGTTGAATTCAACTAGGTTGTTTGTTCCCCAGGCTGTGATTTCAGCAAGATCTTCATTGACAGCGTTGACCTGCCTGCGCCGTGAGGACTTAGTTTCCTGGGAAGAAATGGGAATTCTGGAAGAGAAAGCAGTATGGAGGGTACTATCATCTGCAAAGCTGTGGATGGGGCAAGTTGTTACTCCCAACAGATCATTGATATGAAGCAGGAATAATGTTGGTGCCAAAATTGATCCTTGTGGAACGCCGGAATTGATGCCAATGGTATCAGACGATACACCGTCCACCACCACGTGAAGCGATCTGCCTGAAAGAAAACTCGATAAGAGATGGCATAGCTGAGGTGGTAAGCCGTATGATGGTAGTTTGTGGAGGAGTCCTTCGTGCCAAACACGGTCGAATGCTTTCGATATGTCCAACGCGACAGCTAGAGATTCCCCGTGTTTTTCTATTGAAGATTGCCATAAATGGGTGACGTAGGCAAGTAGATCTCCAGTGGATCTTCGGTGGCGAAAGCCGTATTGTCTATCATTGATGATTCCTGAGCTCTCCAGATATTTGATGAGCTCAATATTGATGGCTTTCTCCATCACTTTGGAGATTACTGATAACAGGGCAATGGGCCTGTAGTTGTTGGGCAGGTTCTTGTTCCCTTTTTTGGGGATTGGTTGAACTCTAGCTGTCTTCCAGCATGATGGAAAAATACCCGACCTGTACGAGATGGTAAACAACTTGCAGAGAATCGGTGTTAATTCTGGTGCACATTTTTTGAGGATAATGGGTGGAATTCCATCAGGACCGTTAGCCTTATTCGTTTTGAGACCAAGCAAAATTCGTCTGATAGTTCGTTGACGGAAGACGATTTCGGGCATTCGACTCTCAACGGGTGGAATGTCTGGCGGCACTTTTCCTTGGGAATCTAAAGTAGAGTTTGCTGCGAAAATTTCTGCAAAAATATTCGCTTTCTCCTGCGATGTTGTTGCTAAAGTGCCGTCGGATTTGGACAGTGGTGGAAATGAACTGTTAGTGAAATTTCTTCCGACCGCTTTAGCAAGGGACCAAAACGAACGGGAGCCATTGGGACAATCTATGAGTTTCGATCTGATCTTGGCATTGTATGTTTCTTTCGAAGCATCTATTGTTTGGCTGCAGTTATTCCTGGCATCAACGTATTCTGCTCTAGTCGCGAGGTTAGGGTTTTTGCGCCAGCGATGGTAGGCTGTTTGTTTCAAGGCAACAGTTCTAGAACAGTTTTTGTTGAACCAGGGTTTCGAAGGTGATGATCTTTTCGAAAAATGAGGTATGTATGTGTCCATTCCGAGCATGATGATCTCGGATATTTCCGCAGCACACTGTGAAGGGTCCTCAGAGTCAAAGCATACTCTATGCCAAGGAAACTCGGAGAAAAACATGCGGAGACCGTCCCAATCCCCTGAATTGTAATGCCATATAAGACGTGGGGGTGCCGGAGCAGTTGATGGAATGAAAAATGGGCAGGTTGTGGAGATGAGTGTGTGGTCAGAATTGCCAAGAGGAGCTCGTACATCTATGGTGTAGGGTGCTGAATTATTCGTGAGGAATAAGTCAAGTATGTTAGCTGAATGGTTATTGGCATCGGGAATTCGTGTGGGTTCTTTGATAAGCTGCTCTAAGCCGTGAGTGATGGCGAAAGCTTCGGCTTGTCGCCCAGCTTCATCCGTTCTGTTAGAGTGTACGAGCCAAGCAGTGTTGTGTACATTGAAATCGCCCATGATGATGATTTCTGCTGCTGGATGGTTCTGTTGAATTTGGTCAAGCTTCAGAGACAAGAATTCGAAGAGCTCTCCATAGGATGGATCATTTGGTGATAAGTAGAGACAACAAAGGTATTTGGTCTGTTTCTGGCTATCGAGTTTGAACCACATGACATCAAACTTATTTGGTTCATAATATCTACAACTCTTGTAAAAATGAGTCAAACATATGTTCAACTGAATTCACCATAAATATCTGGTTTCATCTTCGTATTATTAGGTACGTTCACAGCCAGCACTACAACACACACCTTCTACAAGACGACACAGCCCTATCGATTTGGACGATCGACACCATTGAACAATAATTGAACACGGGCACCCATCACCGACATAAGCCGAATTACGATTGTCAAATGGTTGTCTAATAACCGTAATACATGTGAATTGCTATAGTTATCCGTCAAAGTACAATGCTAGAAACCCAAACAGCTATGGTTATTGGGTTAAACATTATCTGAATTCACCAATAAGCATAATTCACAAAACGAGCAATGTCAATAAAAAATCTAAATAGACTAGGATTTATAAAATACTCATAATGTCATAACACACCGGAGTTTTGATGGTAGCGAATGTCCATTCAAGGGTATTACGAATATTTAATGAAAGCGATTTTGATAATTACAGAATGGAGAGAATACAGTTGTAATCACAAAACGATCAGGAATAGAAGATTTCTGTATAATGGTTATTACAATCAGAGCTGATGGTAGATATTTTTAATATCCAGTTTCTCTTAGTGTTCCTCAATGAAAAATCACGAGTTCACGAACTGGTATTGCACGATCTGATGAAATCTCATCCATCCTGTACTCAAATCATAATTAATCAATATGAATTTTCATTATTTTCTTCAATTTTTGCAGAGTTCTGAGAAGATATTCGATAGCTGCAGGGGATGGTCCATAGGTGTTCTGGTGCTTTCCGATGTTGTTCGCAACATTCTCGAAATTTACACAAATGAAGTTGTCACATCTTGGCCAACTCATATTTTCGGCGGATTCTCAGGTCTTCTCTTTGGTTTCAAATATTTCAAGAGCACCTGTAAAATTGCAAAGTCCTCAGACTCCTCAGATCAGAACGGAATGGAAATGAACGAAAGAAGTTAGGAAGATGATGTTTTTTCAGACAATCAGAAAAACTTCTAGGCCGAGTTGAATAACAAATCAATGAGACAAATTTCTATATCATATAGGGTGTCCGCTAAAAGGAGGTCAATTCATTAACCATATATATATTAACAACTGTACTATGCTGTTCGGTTTGAGGATAGTCATGTTTCAGGTAATAAAATGTAATACTGATGACAATGCTGTTGAGAGAAGTATTCTCGTTGAAGCTTTTTCACGTTGTGTACGAAATACTCAATTTAATTGCTCATAGTTCCAGAATGAACCCATTTTAATGTTTTTGAACTCAATGTGACAAATCAATATGATATCATTTATTAGCTATTTTATAAATTACATACATAAATATAAAAAATATATGAAAACTAGCCTCTATTGGCAAAACAGCACATTTATTTTCATCATATTAAATTAGCTTAGGACGAATCCTACTTGGCAATTTCAATTCGTTCATTCAAAATTTCATTCTACGATTAATACTCTTCTCTACTGATATTCTTTCATCTTCATTTCAGAAATATGTCGATCATTTTTTTCTAACAATACTAACTTCATGCGGTATGAATTGATGAATAGTTTACTGATAAAATTGATGATATTAACTAAATATTTGGGTGTGTGAGTGAATAATTCATATGGAAATAAATTATGTTGAGTTCTTTGGGAATCATTTTTTTCATGCATGGCACTGTGTATTGAAATCGTTGAGAATGTTCCATATCAAGAAATCTTACATTCATATAGTGACTACAAGAGTCTCTCAATTGGGCTACACATTGTCAATCCAACTGTTCACTCCGATATCAACAAAATCAACTAAAAGTGGCATATCTTGAGAGAAAATATACTATTTATCTATTCTGGATAGTTTTGACTCAAATTGCTGCGAAAATGAATGCATGATCATGAAAATATCCTGTGAAGTCACACATTCTTCGAATCTTATGAACATTACATACATTATTCCAGATTTTTTTGGATTTTCTCTCCTCGTTTCTATAGAATATAAATATGTTTCTCTACGACTATCGTATTCTACATTGATTACATATAGGTTAGTAATTGATGAATGAAGATGATTCCAAGACACCGTGGATCCCAACTCATTATTCAACGGCACTCGACCAATCACAGATTCAGAATTTTCAGGATCCACAGCAACTGAAAAGGTTAGACTAATGAAAAACCAGCAAATCTACAAAACAAATTTCTCAAGAAGGTTCTGCTTCATTTTACGGGTCACGTCACGGCTTGACTTTCGCGAATGTCAGATTGACTTATAGAGTCTTTCAAGTTTTAACTTTGATATCTGGAGGATATAATGGAGGCTTGCCGTTCCATAGAAATGTACTCTATGAATATTGAAGATATTCAAGATTTTGGATCTCCATGGATGATAACTATTCCTGAGACCAAAACAAAAATTGTAAGGAGGTTCACTGTAACCGGGAAATTTTATCAATTTCGTGAAAAGGAAAATGTACTCTTTAGAAAATTGGAATTAATAAGTTTGCAGCAATGGGGAAAAAAAATAGTTACATTTTTGAAGCTACCAAATCCCGAGATGTACACCGGGCATTACTTTGCTTGTCAATGCAGGTGGAGGTATAACAGCATTGAAAAGACATGGTGACTGGAAGAGCACATCGGTGGCAGAAGAATTTCTAGAAGATTCCATGTTGAAAAAAAAAACGGCAGATTCGAATTCTTCAATGAATCGAACAATGTTCATCATCATCAAATAACAGTTCCTTCACACAAAAAACATCAACTAGCAATATGAATAAAAATGTCAGTGTTGATTCAAATGCAACACCAACAGTAAAATTTCACTAATTGTGAGAATATCACTAAAAATTCAGTCACTAAGTACGGGAAACATAATTCACTGACCTAATAATTATTGTGTTGATTCATCATTGAGTTCGTTGAATATTAAAGATTCCTGTCAATTGTATTATCATCATTAAAATTTATACATCAAGTATATTATTTTCATAAATAATAATTAGATTACATTAAATTTCTGTATCGTATAGTCGTAGAGAAAGTATAGTCTTCTACTCGCGTATAATAGCTATTATTCTCTCGGACAATTCCGAAACTCGCCTATGGCTCGTTTCGGAATCATATCCTCGGGAATAATAGCTATCATTATACGCTCGTTGAAGAATATACTATTATTATTTCAATATACGTGTAGTAAGGACGAATCAGATGATCTGCCCCAGAATGTCACTGCGTTTAAAGAATCTTCCTATCAGAGAGCCTAAAAGAAAAATTCACTAGCATGTCAGTGACAATTTGTATTGAGAAAAGTGTGGAGAAGAGAAATGAAGGTTTATAGAAAAAATATCGAATTTTTACTTAGCTTTGGACGTTTCGGGAACGAATCTGCTCCCGTTTTCAACATGAACATGGATTTTCTGTATCGCAAATTCGTATCTGTCCTGACAGTTTTCAGTTCTCAGCGACAATTGGTGACGTTGGCAATCAAATGAGTTAATTTCGTTAATTATTCTTGAGTTTACCATTTTCATTTTCTGATCCCAATAGCATGTTCTATTTATATATCAACCGAACAGAAAGCAATGCTATTGTCTCCGTTCAGAAGAATGCAAGCAGATTCGTTGATTTTTCTCTTCATGGTTGTTATCTTCTTTTCCAATGATTTTAATATTTTTCCACTCTGCCATATGTTGTTCATCTTCAGTAAGGGTATGTTCAGCTAGTTTCGATTTGTCGATCTGTCTTTTCTTCATATTGTATTTATGTTCCTTCGTCCTCACTGAAAGAGGTCTCTTGGTTCCACCTGTATAAAACTTTCCGCAAACACAAGGTAAACTGTAAATACATCAATGTAACTCATTTGATTGCCAACGTCACCAATTGTCACTGAGAAGTGAAAAGTGTCAGGACAAATACGAATTTGCGAAATTATGTTGAAAACGGGGGCAGATTCGTTCCCTTTCTTTCTCTTCTACAAACTTTTCTCAATACAAATTTTCACTGATAAGCTAGTGAATTTTTCTTTCAGGCTCTCTGATTGGAAAATTCTTCAAACGCAGTGACATTTTGGGGCAAATCATCTGATTTGGCCTTACTACATGTATGCCGAAATAATATTCATAGTTTTATTTTATAGAAACGAGGAGAAAATCTCAGAAAATCTATAATAATGAATGTACCACTTCCTCGATTCACCTACAGACATAATTTTTTTGTTACATGTTGTTCATAAGATTCAAAAAAGCTGCCCACCTACGATTCATTCATTTTTATCGATTTGATTTCAAAACTCTCTTCGAGTACTACTCTCTTCGTAACAGTGAGATCTGTGAGTGAAACTAACAGTTGAATTTGGCTTAAAACAAAAAGTACTACTGAGATCTGTGTGTACCCGACAGGCGACAATCTCACATCGTCAACACTTCAGCGCTTTGCACTGCACTCCAACGTCTGTACACTTGCACTCCAAACACGGTCCCGACAATTCCGATATCAATTTCCCCACCCTATACATCCTGCCGTAAATATTGCAGCCCGCCAGGTTGATGGGCAGAGACGGCCCTGTGCTAGAATCCACGCCGTTCGAATGGTTCGCGTCCTCGCTAAATCTGCTGTGCTCCTCGTAATTCGTGGAGCTCTCGATAGGTGGCTGTGGACTGGTTATCATCGTTCGGTCATCTGTTTTACCGGCATTCATGGTTTGAAAATTCGTGGTTGTTGGGATAGCGTTTTCCCGATTTTCCTCGGGAAATATAAACTGAAAAACCTTGTCGAAAGACAGTGCCTCATCTGCAACTTGTGGGGTAGTGTTGTCAGGGTTATTTGAGTGAATCGTGGTCGGGTATTGTTGTGTGGTTTTTCGGTAAATGTGTGGCGCCATATCTATGATCAGAGATTGTAAATTCGGAGCTGGTTCTGTTCGAATTACATCCCTGAAAGGGTCGGGGGTTGCCAATTTTTCAGCTACAGTGACTGCTTCTTGTGTGTGTTGAATTCTTTCAATGTGATCCAGCACTACAGTGGGAGCTTCATCATCTGAAAAAAAAAACAGGCAAATATAAACATCACTCTTCATTCTTGTTTTTATATTGTTCTTGTTGGGTATTATTTTTTTCTCTTGCTACGATTACTTGGATACTATTCGTTTTATTCAATCATTTTTCTGCCTAGTATCATAATTATGAAGGACACTATTTAAATTGAGCTTTTCCTTATTCCTAGAAACCTCGCTAGAAACAAACACACACATTTCAAATATATACAGTGTGTCCACCGTGAGGACTTTCCACTCCTGTAAAATTGTATCTGACCGATTCCAAAAAACTTTTTTTTGTTGGATAGGTAGGTATTCGAAATGTCCATCCAACAAGAGAGTGATTTTACCGAGGATTTTACTCATGAACTGTAATCGTGGCCAGCTGCGACCAACTTTATTGACCCATATTTGAGAAAGTACTATTAGGGATTTTTTTTTACAAAAAACAATGATGGATTCCGAATCACGATCACTTGAAGAACACCTTTACTGATTTTTATCATCATAAAACACAGGGTGTCCGAAAAAACGAATTATGTTTTTTTTTAATAGGTGATCAGAAAATGTAGTATTGTGGTATTTTTGAGAAGAATCGATGACACATCATTATTGAGGATCACTTTGAACATATCTGTACCGATTTTCATCATTCAAAAATACGATGTGTATGAGAAAACAATTGAAAAGAAAAAGTAGGCAATAATTTTTCATCAACTCAAAAAAAATATTAATTTGATTTTTCGAACACCCTGTGTTTGATGATCTACCGAAATTTAATTGAAAAAAATACAGGATGGTCCAAGATTCAAAATTTTGATCACCCTGTATCTGTTCCAATTAAATGTCAGTAGGTCAGTAGATAGTGAATCAAAAGTTAAGATGGGGACATGTAAGCCGTTTTGACCAATGATGAATAGTTTCAACACAAAAAAATCCTAAAGTTGAAAAATCTCGATTTTGAACACCCTATATCTCTGTAATAAGTCCTGCTAGACCCCAAGTGTGATGCATTGATGAAATCAGCTCTTCGAGAAGAATCTAAAAACGCAATAAAATACAGGGTGTTCCATTTGAAATAACAAAGATGATGCTACTTTTTGGTAAAAGTGGCAACGCTGCATCGCTGTAAATATTTTGAATCGTTAGATCACAAACGCTTATTAAAGTAACCAAATTTTCAGGATAATCCAATGTACCGTTTTCCGTATACGTCTAGGGTACCATCGACCGTGGGCCACCCTGTATATTCTCCATAGGAATTGTATGAGTTTCTCGATGAGTTTTTTGCTCGGTTTTTTGTGACGAACAGAACGTGCCGAAATATCATGCAATTTTAAGTGCATGTGATCAACTGAAGATTAATAAAAACATAGAGGTGATTATAATAATAGATAGGTGTCAAAATATTTTTCAGTAGGTTATCTTATCTTTCAGTAGTACATTAGATCAATATGCAAATCAGGAGATCTACTGAAAATTCAGTAAAACGGGCAACCCTGCAGCGGAGGTAAAGTATGTGCGGACGAAAAGTTAGTGTCTGCGGACGAAAAGTACTAGCCTTAGGAATTAGTAGGTTTTTCATTCGGATATTAGAACGTAAAAATAACTTGAAATATAACAATAAGTACAAAGTCTTACCACAAATATATCTGGGACAACACAAAGTTAGATCTTGGACGGTAGATTGTCTGCATCCTGATCTTGGAATTGGACAACTCGGTTTCTGGCATGCTATATTTCCATAGAAACAAGTGCAAGTTACACAGGGTGAATCTGATTGCACTGACTGGCCATGTAAAATTAGGTTCCCATCATAACTGACACAGTTTGCTAAGGAAATAAAATGTATTGGTATAATAGGTACTGCAGACTGCAATGATATTTCTTCTGTTTTCTACTCCCGTAGCCAAATAATCTCCCAATCAAAATATATCTAACCGTATCTATAACTATCCAGAGAAAATTTCCAATATCATCAAGATCTGCCTTATTATTTATAATTGTATTGAGTGCTAGGTTGGATTTTCTTTTATGTTCTGGTTCCCACGAAAAGGGATATCTTGTGATGTTCTGATAACATCATGAGAACCAAGGGAAATAAAGTAGGCATTGGTATTCTTTTCAAATTTCTGGAGGTTATATGCCTCGGGGAACACCTTCCTTGGCAATGTGTTCCAACGAGTTTTTGGAAAGAGATGTTCTGCAGGCCTCCAAAGTGACCACGAACGGGTGCGAAGCCTCAACTCGACGGGTTAATCTCGCGGGGACTTTCAAGAGAGGAACAATTGTTGATATTTCAGAAGAGCATCGTCCATTAAAATTTAAAATATCTATAGAATAGGGCCAGATCAACAACTTTACGGTGTTCCAGAGAAGTGTGTGAGTTTGTGAGCGAGGCATCACCCACGAGACGAATTACCCTTTTTTGTACAGAATCAAACAGTTTCAGGGTATGTTTGGGTGCTGCGCTCCGAATTTGGGAACAGTATTCCAGGACATGTCGAATCTGTGCCTTATAGATCATTAGCAGCCTGCAAAAGGGGTGGAGTGTTCAGGACTCCCACACTATTAATTGCCTGATCAGACCCATATGATGTCCATAAAGGATCTCAACCCCCTCGACGAAAGAAAAAGTATCGAAATAAAATTTGGTTTGATGCAAGGGGGTAGCAAAACTGTTATCTTACCATTAGGTTTGGCTTCCTGATCTATTGAAATAGGTGTAACAGCATTTTCGTAGTAATTTTCCAAAATTGGAGGTTCTCTAGGAATGAACCCACCTAGAATGAAAATAGAACAGATCAGTCAATCATTTTCAAAGTTTCATGAAACATTTCTATGTATAACATGGAATGTTTTCAATTAATAATAGGAAATTCTTGAGGAAATTCCCAACGATTTCCGACGAAACCGGTTTGATAATTATAAAAATCAACCAAGAAAATATCAAATATCAAAATTTCTTTATCATTCAGGAATATCCAGGAATATCCATTATTGCTCGATTAATGTAATTTCTTTTACCTTCAGTTTTTTCCGGAGGAGAAAAATGGTTATTGTAAATGAAATTGGTGTTGCCATCTTGCCTTCTATCTTGAGCAAACCCAGCATTTTCCTTAGTGGTGCCTTTCTTCGAATCTACAGCATCTTCCGGATAGAAATAAATGATCCTGAAACAAAAAACAGGATGAAAAACATTCTAATCCATCTCTATACCTTTCGGATAATTTTCAATAAAGTTTTCAATAAATTCCTTCCGAATTAATCGACATAATAATTTTTTTCAAGCACTATCATGTATCAATCGAGAAATCAAAGAAGACTTTAGATCACAATCTCAACCAAAATGACAAGACCACGCTCGTCTCACCAGAAATTTGAGCATCATTCTGCACTCTCTTGTGAAATATTTATATAATAAGTATGACAATTCCAAAAATTTCAGAAGCATGTCGAAAATACAGATGGTGCGTTATGTTTTTCATTTCAGAAAAAAATTGAAATTTATTCTCGCAGTAGCCAAGGTCACCATCATGACATGGAATCTACGAAAGAATGTCCCTAATTCCTGGCTTAGATCGAAAGTTAGACATGTTTTCATGTAGTTTTCATGTCACCTTGGACCTTGTACTACCGAAATCCTTGGTCTGAACATTTTTCTTCTGACTCACCTCAGGTTTGGTAAAGATGGAGGCAACGAAGATTCCCCATAGTCAATATCCTCCTCGTCACTACTACTCTTCTGCTTGCTTGTATTCAAGATGGCAGCTATTTGAGAATTCAACTCGGGTATATTCCTTAGCGTAGCACTAGCTATCAAGGTTTCAGCATCATCATCTTCGGTAGTGGTTTCAGAAGAGTTCACCTCTGTGCTTGTTATATCATTATAGCCAGTTATTTCTATCAAGTCGTTCACGTCATACGCGTCCACTGCTATTGGAGTAGTGAAATCTGTTGAGTTATCCTTTATGAAAGAGTCTACTTGCTTGTTTTGGCTACAATCAGTGGATTTCAATACTGTTCGTACTGTGATCACATTGGGAGATATATCTTTGATGGTTGATAAAATTTGTTCAGTCGTAGTAGGGTTATTTGTTTCGGTTGATTCTTGTGAAACACTTGTTGGAACTATAGTTGAGATATCTTCAGGAATACTAACCATAGTTACTGCTTCACTCGTATTATCAGTTAAAGTTGTTGCTAACATAGTCGTTGTAGCATTATCCTGGGCCTTATCATTCAAGAATGACTCGAACAGGCTGAAGAGATTATCAGGCATAGATTCTCCAGAGTGTGTAGCTTCATATCCGACTTTGTAATTGGCTCTCAGTGACAGATTACCAACTGGAAGCTTGGGCTTCTTCGTCGTAGATTGAATTCTCCTGTAAACAGCGTTTTGGAATTGGTAATTTGTAGTGGCAGATTGAATGTTTTTCGTCACCAGAGGAACCATAGTAGATGTCCTGCTATGTTTCTCATCGTCCTGGTAATAGGGCTTAGTGGTGCCTGAATCGAAGTTGATACCACTGAACTGCCTCGTGGTACCGAAGGTACCTGGACTCCTCTGCCTAGAGTGGGCAGTCTCCGATGAAACGTACTGAGGAGATACTGTAACGATAGCTTCAGCATACGCAGGCAGCTTCAGGTGAGCCTGCTTATGCAATTTGGAGTACACTTTGCTTATCACCGGTTGGTGGCCGTAGAAAGGTTCCGCTTGAATCTCGATGGTACCACCTGAGATGCACAAAGCTTGAACAACATATATGTTTCGTCATTAATACTTACTGCAGTTGTAGCTTGCTGCGCAGCATTCCCCTGGTTTTATAACTGGTGAGCAGCCCAGCAACGGTGGTGCACAAGACAGAGGTTCACACCTCACTAGGCCTTTCAAGCAGTAGCAGTTGTCACACGCTGAGTGACCAACTCCAAGGACTTTACCCCCTTCTTTTTGATAAATTCCATCAACCAAGCATCCACCTATAGCAAAGATTAGTTGTATGAGGACTGGATTGAACTCGATGGAGCTTACCTTTTTCTTGCTGCGATACTTCGGTGGTAGTACTCATGGTAGTAGGTGGTAGAATGCTCGAATTGCTGCAGTTGTAGTGTATAGGGCAGCAATAGGAAGGATCAAAATTCGGGGTGCAGCCATCGATGGGGTTGAGACATTTCGGTTTAATGCAGATCTCTTTACCTCCGAGGCAATAGCAGTACTCGCAGTTAGAGGAGGAATCCATTGCTGAACCTGGACCGTAGATGCTACCATTCGAAACGCAAGCTAGGGTTAAGAAAGAATGAAGATGAGTCATTGGCAAGCATGATTATTTTAATTTTCACCGTTATCCAGCACTGTCCTATCAACTGGAATGTCTAGCTCGTCTTCTGGGTCTGATCTACCTTCCAGACTGTTCCCGCCGGATATGTCTGCAAGTTTGAACAGTTTATTGGAGTGTTTTCATGAAATGCTTCACTTACCTGAGCAGATCAATTCTGGGCAACATGTGTGGTACCTGTGGAGGAGGATACATCCAGCAGGCGGTGGGTTTGGTAGCTTCGTGCATACTCTGAGGTAGCAGAGGAGTACTCCCCTACTGCAGGTGCAGTTCAAGCAAGGTTCCGCTGTGGGTACCTCGGTACCTTCTCCATGTATTTCCTCTTCGTACTTACAGTCTAGAAAACAAACATACATATAAGAACGTTGGAGGCCCTTTGCAAGAAGAAGAATCTATGTTGGTAATAGTGGCATGTACAGATGAAAATTTCCAAAATGCTACGGACCTTGAAAAGTAGGTGATAGTATAACATGAATGTTGTTTTGTTTCATTCAATTATTGATAGTGTTGTGATACAGGGTGAAGCGGTAGCTCTATGATTTTTATTCAGTCTGTCTGGCCAAATAATTTGGACGATGTTTCTTCTGATTTGAATTGCTAATGACCAGTTATGATGAGCAGGACCCCGGGTCACGATTTTCTAACGGGAATCTTGTGTACGCGCTTATGTCTGCATTGATCGCCATCAAAAAGTCTAGCTTCTAAATAGTTGGGATTATTCATAGTCGTAGTCCAAATAGCTGATGTTGTTTGGAATTTTTATTTCCGTCAGATATCTCAATATAAAGATGGAGATCACATAATATACTGAATGATTCCTTCTAAAATGCTAATCTGTACAATTCACCAGTATATATTTTGTGATACTTTAGTTGTTCACCAAGTCAATGCATCTCTCAGTCAGGAATAATTATACTTTTATTGTCACTCTCATTGGATATAGAAACAAAAATCAAAATTACATGTAAATCATACATTTTCATAGGTCTTTCCTCAAAGAATTCGATTTATTCCAGTGAGAACGGAGTATGCAATACTTTTGAGTTGAACATTTCCTGTTCATTAGACGAAATATTTGGATTATTCAAATAAAATGTACCTTATCTTCTCATCTAAAGCGAAATCATTGGTTTATTCTGATAAAAAGAGATTTTTTTTCTAAGTATTAACGCTGATACTCTTAGATTCCATCTAGAGATGAGCCATTAACTTGGTTGATGATGTTACACTCACTAATTCTTCGACATCATTGGAAAACCTTGGGAAAATTGGTGACCTTCCCCTTCTTCATAGATATTTTCACCAAGTTCTACTGAAAATGTTCTTTACAATATAGTCATCTTACAAATTTCACAAAAATAATAAACATAGTTCCACTTGATTTAACGAAATAGTGCGTTGTTAATTTTTTTTTCATTCTGGAGTCAATATTCCTCGGAACTCAAAACAATTAATTCATGTTTGTTTGAATAACCCTCTATCCCGATATAGATATGAATATTCATTAACAAATTTGTTCGTATATTTCGAGGTATATTTGTATTATACTTTGGATAAAACCAGTATAAATGCTCATCATTGCAATCGATTATGGAGGAATGTTGGTACTACGGGTACTTTGAAATAACTTTCCGATGATTTTCACTACTTTCACTCTTCAATCGAAGAATTGAAATTAGGAAGAAATGTGGGTGAAGTTTTTTGTAATTCGATGACTATTCATAAATTGATGAGTTTTTCCGCATACTATGCTACATTATTGAAATGAAACCATTAGTCACGATGGTACTATTGAGAAAAAGAATTAAACAGTGCAAGAATGTTTTTCTACAAACGTCAAAAAATGGTAAGGTTCGCACATTGATAACAAATTGCGAAGTGACAACTTTTTTCACTTTTCCAGTACCCTCAACAGCTATGTTCTCTGCTATCTAGTTTTCTCTCAAACAGGTCTCTCCATGTAGTAGTCGACGGAGTTTCATCTGACTCTCTCATCATAAATGCTGGTGTTCCGCAAGGATCAATTCTAGATCCAACAATATTTCTACTCCATATCAACGATTTGTTGGAAGCAACTTCATGTCCAGTACACAGCTTCGCGGATGATAGTTCCAGGGCTCCAATACCAGCCAGGCAAATCAGAAACGAACGAGAGAGAAATGTTGACAACATAAATATGGACTTGGCAACAATTCTCGAATGGAGATCCAATAACTTGGTGGATTTCAATTCGAACAAAACACAAGCATGCCTTTTCTCCAAAAAAGCTGATCTCACTGTGCCCAACATAAGCTTGTCAGGAGTAACCATACCTCTGAAGACATCTATGTCGATACTTGGTATCACTATCAGCAATAACCTTTCATGGAGAAATCACGTGAGATCAATTGCTAAAAGTGCATCCCAAAAACTTGGTCTTCTGTTTCGGGCCAGGAGCTATTTCACTTCCAGTCAGATGCTTATGATATATAAGGCACAGATCTTGCATCCAACGAACAGCGAGGCTCTGAATTACATTGCCAAGGGAGGTGTTCTTCGAGGCATATAACCTCCAGAAATTCAAGAAGAACACCAATTCCAACCCTATTTTTCTTGGTTCTAACGATGTTCTCTGAACATTACAGGAATGGGATATCCTGGGAATATCGTGGGAACCAGAACATAAAAAAAACTGTCAAGTCAGGCGGATTCGCGAATCTCTCGGTGTCGTTGCGTTGTACAGTCGTCTTCAGAGATCATGTCGCACATGGACGGTGTCAGCTCCCTTGATCACCGCTGCAATAAGAGCGCTCATACCGTCCAACTGCGACATGTTCGTTGAAGACGACTGTACGTGCAATCTTGGTGGTCAGATTTCAACGTTCAATGTCCATTGTCCACCGAGACAGTCATTCGTTTGACTTGATATCTTCATTATTTCTCGTTCCACGAAGAAACGAGCACGGGTGGTCCCTTGGCTCTCTTGAGCAGTTTCTTCATACGTCGATTATTATGCGTGTGTATGTTCTGATATGTACGTCGAAGAGAACGATTCATTGATTGGAATCGAGCATCTCGATAGCTACGCCGAGATTCTCATCCTATCGGACAATAGGAATACGATTAAGCGAGGAATCCCACAGAGATTTATGCAATATACAGGGTGTTCCATGTTGAGCAGATATTTGAGTGATCCCACACAGAACAACACTGTCGAAGGAAATACAAAAGAGACTTTCAATGACTACTACACACTTCCAATTACTTCGAATGACTACCATAGATAACCAGTGACTTCTGAAGACTTCCAATAATGACTTACAATGCGGTTTTCAATGATTTCCATAGCCTTCCAGTGACTCCTTATGACTAACAAAATCTTCCAATCAATTTCAATAACCACTCGTGACCTACCATTGAATACTTAACGCTTTCAGTAACTTCAATTACTATACCAAAGGGTTCCAGTGACTTCAAATTACTTTCAATGACTACCAGTGGTTATCAAATACTTTCTGTGAATACCAATTACAGAAGAAGAAGAGTTGGCGATTTAGCTCCATTTTATAGATATTTTCATGGAGGATGCTCTTCTGAAATATCAACAATTTTTCCTCCCTTGACAGTCTCCGCGAGATTAACCCGTCGAGTTGAGGCTTCGCACCCCTTCGTGGTCACTCTGGAGACCTGCAGAACATCTCTTTCCAAAAACTCGTTTATCCAACGAACAGCGAGGCTCTGGAACACATTGCCAAAGGAGGTGTTCCCCGATGCATATAACCTCCAGAAATTCAGGAAGAACACCAATTCCTACTTCAATTTCCTTGGTTCTCACGATGTTTTCTGAATATTACAGGATATTCCTTCACGTGGGAACCAGAACATTAGAAACAACATCAGACCTCTGATCACGGAGCAATCAGTAGGTGTGAATCGAGGTGTGAATTTTGTGTTCAACATAACGATGCTCAGTTTGAACATTTTGAATTTCACACTTCAATATCACATGCGGTGTTGAAATATTTGAGAAATATGAAAAACTGACGTTCATTTCAGTGACATTTACTATACAATACTCGATGATATATCTCGGAATTTTAAGAAAATAGATATCTATTCCTTTCCAACTGAGCATTCACTTTCTATTCCAATCAGCATCATTGTATTCAGAGAAAAAAATTCGAACAGAAAAAAAATTGAAAAACAAATAATGTCATTTGGAAACAAAATTGACATTTGCCTCGACAGTCGCTTGCGTTACAGATGGAATTCGAAATATTGAGGATCAGAGCCTATAACTAGTAACTATATGATAAGTGATTTCATTTGTTCTTTTGTTTTTCAAGTCGTATAAAATAGCGGCAACATTGACTTTTTGTCGGTCAGCTTGTGTAGCACTAATAAACATTGTTGTTGATCCTATAGTCTATTTGTTTGAATCGCCCAATATATAGGGTGTTTTCTTATCTACGAAACTTGACTTTAGAGGGTGAGTTAGTTTTTGAAACAAAAGTTAAATCATCTGATTTGCCGAAATAATACTGATATTTTGATTCATAGAGACGAGGAAAGAGAACTCTAATATTCCCAAGAAATGAATCCCCCTGTATAGATTTCAATGAGCTGGATCATTTCACCCTGTATTGTATTAGGTGCCTATCGCCATACAATGTACTGACAACCTGAAAGGAGTACTTATACTGAGGCATTTAATGACTGCTATCGCAACCGTTAGGAGGATCGCTAGTACTCCAAAGTACCATCAATATTGCACCAATACACCATCAATTTCTGTCTCAGGGTCTCCCACGCACTCACCGTACGTGCATTGCCATTATATACAGGGTGTCCTCAATTAAATTCGTTCGTTGTGCACTGAGAGCTGTATTTTCAACTGTCAAGAGCAGTAAATTTGACTGTTTCTCCACTTTGTATTTCATTATGAGGAAAAATATTATCATATACTGTCTGTAGGTTGATCGGGAAGGTTGTAAGTACATTCATTATTCCAAATTTTTTTGGATTTTCTCTCCTCGCCTCTATACGATTAAAATATGATTATACATGCAGTTAGGACAAATCAGATGGTTTGCCCCAAAAAGTCACTGCGTTTAAAGAATTTTCCTATCAGAGAGCCTAAAAGAAGAATTCACTTGCTTGTCAGTGACAATTTGTATTGAAAAAGGTACGGAGAAGAGAAATAAAGGTATATTGGAAACAAATATGCTACCGTTTTCAACATAAAAAATGGATTTTTTGTATTGCAATACATTATTGTATAGGACGAAGGAACATAAATACAATATAAAGGAATGACACATCGACAAATCGAAACTAGCTGAACATATCCTTACTGAA